GCTCTTTTTGGGGGGTGCCGTACAAGGCCGACGTTTTTTTTTTGGTGTTTTATAAACGAAATTCTGCGGGCGTATTTGGGATGAAACTGGAGAGTTAGCGTATCAGGCTCGGATGCATCGCTTTTTTGCAGAGCTGGAGCCTTCTCTACCTGTATTGGAGCAAAACCTGGCGGACCTGATTTCGGTACATCCTGCGCTCCACCATATTTGGTGACACTGAACTCAGACGACTACGACGTGAGGTTGTTTCCTCATAGAACGTATTGCTACGGCTGGGAGCGCGGCGACGCCAATTGCTGAGCAACCTGCACACGTGGATGCCGCTGTGGATCTACCAGTTGTGGTTGATTCAGACGATGATGAAATAGTCTCCCATGAACTGAAGCAGATGAGAAGCATATTAGAAGAGGCGATTTCGGAAACGCGCAGTACGCCTCTCAAAAATCGACCGTGACTTCCCCGCAATACCCCTAAACAAGCCAAATCAGGCTGTCGTGAAGCCCAATGCTGGTGACCTTTTATTTATTTATGTATTATTTTTATAATTATGTTAGTATATTACATATATACTAACATATACTATATATATATATATATATATATATATATATATATATATATTTATATATATATAATACAAGTACAATTAATACAAATGACGTCTTAATTTAAAATAGTCTACAATAACAGGCACCTGAACTCTGATAAACTTGATTCTCAGGTGTATATGCTAAAAGGTACGTTAACAAATATTTCCTGTTGCTTATATATTTTTTTATAGGTTAAAGTTGACAAGCGAGCATATAGTCCACCTGGTAAGTGGATGCTGTGGCCCATAGACATCTACATTTATCCTCGATTAAGTATCAAAACGCAGATGAAAATGAAGTGTCTGTCTCTAATATAGAAATAACTATATTTTACTGCGTTCAGTGCGTTACGAGTGTGCCGACATGACCGACCATTTGTAGAATTATTGTCTGTCTGTCCGAGTTAATATTCGGAAGGGCAAAACGGGAGATGAAACTTCACGGACAGAGAGTAATTACAGGAGTGACCAAAGCCATATTTTATCTGAAAAACATGTAAATTTTTTTATGAAATGAAAGAAATTAAATAGTCATTAACGATCATTAAAAAAAAACAAATGTATATAGTATAATAGTTAGAAGAATACTTATTAAAAGTTATTTATAAATAACCAAGATCAAACACTCGATTAAATTTACATACGCATACACACCAGAAGTTTGGTTCACATCGGTGTGGTCACTGCGCAAGAGTTTACGTGGCGCCCGCCTTCCTGAATGTGGGTCGCGTAATGCTTTGGTTATGAGGTTGATAGCCACCAAAATAATGCCGGCCCTGATTTGTGTGGAAACTACTGCATGCCTGCTGAGTATTTCAACTGGAATGCTAAGAATATTTAATATCTCTGCAAATAATATGCATGGCACTTACTCGGGAATAGTTTAGTAGCTTTCAATATGTAATTTTTTTAGAAACTGATCAGCAGCTCCAAGGATTTTTTTATATCATTGGGTGGAAAATAAGCACACAATCCACAAGTGGATAATGTGGACCATACATACACATTTATCCTGAAGTCATTCATATTTATTTTCAATTAAAAATCAAAATGGAAATGTGTTGTCACCCCTGAGGACTGAGATGGAATGCCTCAATTCCAATAAAAACGGTCTCCGCTTCTCTACACTCACAACAAACTTACAAATTGACAAATATGTGATGTGTCTCTTTATAATTCTTAATTATATAGCATGGTATGTGGTAGAGCCATTTTGCTGCTATATTACAGTATGTGCCCATGCCACGTCACTGCCCCGTTGGTCTAGTGGTTGTAGTAGTGCGACTGCTGACCATGAGTTCGAATCCCGGTTCGGGCCAAAAAATCAGTTTATTGAGTTTTTCTGTCAAGAAATTCTCAGAGGCTGCCCGAAGTCAGGAAAGTTGGAGGTGTCTCACCCCCTGCCTCGAAAAGCACGTAAAACCGTTGGTCCTGCGCCTGATCTCTCTCCGGTTGTGTCGAAAAAAGTAAAGAAAAATAAATATAATTTAATTAAGTAAATCATTATCTTAATACGAAATTTCATCCGAATTTAGAATAAGAGTCTTAGTTTAAATAATAAAATTATAGTAGTGGTATTGTAAGATAATCCACAACACCATATCGTCCCGTGGGTGTCCTAAGCGGTGACGGACGGAAAAGAAACAGGAGTTGGGCAGCTTCATTTTCCAGACAAAACGACACAAAATAATAAAATATGCGTTTGCCTACCCCAAGCGTGGAAAATATGGCAATAATCCGCATATGATCTATAAGGCTATAATTCTACAGGAAAGCCTTATGTTAATGGAGTTTTTTTTATAGAAGATGAGGTAAACCAGCATGCAACTCATCACATGGAAAGTACGTAGGTCACTCAATAAGTTTTGAGATGCTCGAAATTTAAAACTATATATATTGTGTTATATGTTTCTATAAAGCAAATTTATGTAAAATAAACTCCATAAGCCAATTGCTCAATATTTAAAAATAAACTAAGTTCTATTAATTTTTCTGCAACGCTTCCCGCAATTTTTTTAAACGATTGATCCTAACCGTGAACATTTGCGCTATGATCTATTCTATTATGATTTTAAATTTGGTTTAACCGAACAATTAAGTTAACAACGGTTACAATCAGCAGTAGGGGACTCAGCACCATCACGCGCAACAATTTCGAGGTGGCATGCTTAATTCAAAGGGGGTAAAATAACCTTAAAGATGACAAAATAACCGGGGTCCCGCAAACAGCAGTAACGGCAGAAAATGTATGGACGACTAAAAATGTCGGTGCGATTACTTATTTAATAACATTTTCGGACATCGAAAAGATTGTAGGCATTAGTTCGGGGAGCATTCATACCATCCTACGTCAACATCTTAGAGTGAGGAAACTTTGTTGTCGATTAATCCCTCGTTTGCCCTCCGAAAGCGAAATACAGACTCGTGTGGACCGGAGCCATGAAATACGTGTTTTAGAAAATCTAGGTGTGTTTCAGAAATCTTTACTGGTGATTGATGAAATCTTATCTGGAAAATAAAAGGTAATCAACAGTATGGGCCTGTCCAGAAGGACAGTTACCGACAAAACTGCAAAGACCTCACAACGTCGGCGAAAAATGGTGGCTAGGTTTTTTCGCGGAGCGGACATTTGTCGACGGCAATCACAATAACCCCTCTTCACATACCTACCTTAGAACAAAAGTATTTATTGAGGAATCTGCTGTTGAAACTCTAAGTCACCCACCCTACATGTCTGAATTATCTCCTTGTGATTTCTTTTTGTTCCCAAGAGTCAAAAAAAAATAAAAAGTAAGTTTTTTTCAAGCGTTGAAGATGCCGTGGCTGCCTACGAAGAAGCGATTTCCGACCTGTCAGATCAAGACGGGCAAAAGTGTTTTCAGAGTTGGGTTAGGCGAATGGAACTTTATATAGAGCATGATGGAGAATATTTTGAAAGAAAGATGTAAAATAAATATTAATATCCATAATACTTTTGTATGTCTCAAAACTTATTGAGTGTGCTACGTATAGACCGCCATCCCACGGACCACTGCAATACCAGGGTAATTGCAGTTGCGTTGCTGGCCTTTTATATAGTTGTAAGCTCGTTTCTTGAAAGTTCTTAAGTAATATGTGTGCTGAAAAATCGCCGGTTGGTAAAAGATTCCACACGGAAAATAATTTTCATAGACTGTAATGAACAAATGACTAAGCATTTAAAAATATACTAAAACAACATGCTTTGATCATATGTATATATAATTGTATATAATTGTTTTATTTCAGATTAATCCGACATTCGGACGTGGGTGAAAAATTAATAAAAAAGTCATTAAATGAATTTATACATATATAAGTATATTTTTACTAACTATATCTATTCTATTTATTTGCATTTTATTTCGCTTATATCCTTAATACTTATATATTAAATATATGAAGTGATTGTTTACACCTGCCACAGTTTCTCAAATCATCCATGGTTGACTGGCAGAGAATGCCATAAGGCATTAAGTCCGCCCTTTATATCCCTTAGTATAAGGTGTATGATTAAGATTAAATAAATTAGTAAATAGCTTGAAAGCTACAAAGAAGCGTTGAATCAGGACTTAGAATTAAAAATGATAAAACTTATAGTAGTTTTGATTGACATAAAATACGAGTACTTAAAAATTGGCTGATTCTCTAAAGGGTACAAGTTAACTATATGTCGTATTTGTACAAAGGGAAGATATCTGAGTGAAACAATGAAGTTTTTCTTTAACTATGAATATCATGGTAACCCTGAATAGTGATCGTAAAACCACGAGGCGGGACGCGTGCCCAACTCCAGATATACACGGCGCGGTGTGCGCGTAGTGGGTGGCTGGACGTTACAAACAAATAGTGTAAATATTGAAGCTAACATATCATAACACAGTACCCGAATTACGATGAATGAAAAATATTAAGTGGATAGTGTTTTATTAGTGCCAACAACTTGCTAGATTTAGTGAGAAGATCGCGCTGATTTATGAAGCAAGCTCAACTTAAAGCTCGTTTATTCAGGATGTGTCCGTGCAGTATATTACCAGTATAGTAAATGTTTGAGTGATATACTAGTATTCTTAGATAGAAAATGTTTTAAAAGTTTTAGTTAAATAATAGCATTTAGCATTAGCAACTAGCATTTAGTTAAATTAGAAGTTGACGTTTTTAAAATGTTTTAAAGTACTTCGATTAAATAAATGGAATTCTTAATTAAACTTTTAGGACCAGTTATATTTAATGTGTTTAATATGATTTTGTCATTAGTTACGACTATACTCAGTTTACAAATTTAAGTGAAATTATATAAATATAAGTTACGTTTACCAGGATAGTATAATTCTAATGGAGTTGATTATAAAAGTGCTATAAATATTCAACAAGCAAGTGAGGCTATTGCACTATGTCCCGTCGGGAGATGCAAGTGGAACGTGTGGTGGAGTATCCACCACCGCCTCCAAGCAAATGTGCTAAGGTAAGATATTGATGCACTTACATGGTAGACTATTCTTACCGTCTTTATAATATTGTCGTCATCATTGCAGCCCTTGACAAGTCCACTGCTGGACAAAGACCTCTCTTAAGGAATGCCACAAAGCACGATCCTGAGCCACCTACATCCATCGACTTCCTGCATGTCTTATCAGATTGTCACACCATCTAATGGGGGGACGCCCTACACTTCTCCTGCTGGTACGTGACTGCCACTCGAGAAACTTTCTTCCCATCTGTTGTCGGTTCTTCGAGCTATATAGCCGGCCCATTTCACTTCAGCTTACTAATCAAAGTATGTCAGTCACTCTGGTTCTTCTTTGGATATCTTCGTTTTAATACGTTTATAACGTAAATAAACACCGAGCATACCCCTCCCTGTAGCTCTCTAAGGGACCTTGAGAATTATTATACGGCCAGTAGTGAAGAATAACGTCTCAGATCCATAGGTCATCAATGGTAACACGCATTGATTGTAAAATATGGTTTTGAGGTATGCCTGATGCAAAGATGTGTCGTAATCTCCCGAAAGCAGCCCAGCCAAGTTGAATCCGTTGATTGACCTTTCAGTCAAAGTTGGAATACCTAGTTGGTCTATTTATCCCAGGTAAGCATACTCGTCAACAACTTTGAGCTGAGTACCTACTCCTAACAACTACCGGCATAGGAGTTATATGGACGTTACACATGACTTTTGTTTTGTCCATGTTCATCTTAAGACCTATGCGCTTTGCGACACTATTTACGTCTTTGATCATAGTGCTTAAGTCCTCCAGCGGTTCTGGTATGCCTTTCAATGCAGCGGTGAAGAGTTTCGGGGATATAACGTCACCCTGTCTTATACCTCTCAGCAGTTGAATAGGTTTCGTACTCTAGTTCTGTACTAGCTTAGCTTCTAGTTAGCCATCGTACCTCAACTGTAAAAACACTTCAGCACTTCGATATATCGATAGCCAACTTGACACTGCTTGAGGGACTGTAGCACCGCCCAAATTTCAACGGAATCAAAGGCTTTCTAAGAGTCCACATACGCAAGGCAAAGTGGCAGATTGTACTAGATTGTACTATACTTTCTGGCAGACAGATCTCTGGCAAATACTTTGGAAGCCTTGGGTGTACCGTTGCTTTGCGACAGAAATAAGCGAGACAGTGATACTAACCTTGTGGGACTTAAGCATAAGAGAATTTCTACTCTCTGGTAAATTCTTAATTTATCCAGATCTATCAGATTATACGAAATCGAGGTAGGCAAAAATAAACTAAATTAGTTTGCGTCAATTACACAAATAAATTGCAGTAATAACCAGTCTGTACATAAAGAATGTCTTCGTGTCGGTAACTAAAAACTTATTTTTTAACAGCAACTGGCAGATTTACAGTAAATTATTTTTAACTACAAACAGCGATTCGTCTAAGACATAAGCACATCATCGTTTCACGCTAACTACACTAAAAATATAAACTTGGACATTTATTGCGTTTTTTATTATCATCTTATGTCAATCCAGAAAGGTTGACATTTATTAAATTTTAGTTACTTTAGTAATATTTTACTAGATAATATAATATTCAAGAACGTATATTAAAATAAATATACCATCTATGAATTTATTCATTTTTTAATCTCTCAAAACATTAAAGAAAGAAATACGGTGCGTTGCGTTCATTTTTGTGTCGCAAAAACCTAGCCAAAACTATGCTAAACCTAACGTGCGTGCGTGCGTGCGTGCGTGCGTGCAGTGCGTGCGTGCGTGCGTGCGTGCGTGCGTGCGTGCGTGCGTGCGTGCGTGCGTGCGTGTTGTGTATGTGTGTGTGTGTGTGGTCGTGCATGGAGCGTGCGTGGGTGCGTGTGTGCGAGCGTGCGTGGGTGCGTGTGTGCGAGCGTGCGTGCGTGCGTGTGTGTGGGGGATATCCTATGAATTTTAACTAACAATTTTACAAAAATTTAAATTTTTCATTGAAAAAAAATTAATTTTATTGATATTTTTTTTAAATTACTCCGATATTTCACATTCAACGTCATAATTTGGTGAAATTCTGGAGCGCTTTGTATTCGAAATTAGCGGGAAGTTCCAGGGACGGCCTGCAGGGTCAACCAAGTTTCTTTTATTAAACTGAAGTGACAAATGGACTTTCAGACCAGCTGATTGCTGCAGTCCATACACAGCTGCCATCAACTCCAAAAAAGAAGGTTACACCTCGGTGTTGAAAGTCGTTGTTTGGTCGACTAAGTTGGAATTCCTCATAGCCTGTAGTCATTGTATCTCTCTATACCTTTCAGACCAGTGCAAGCCTGGTAACGACCTGGTATAAGACATGCGGGTAAAACATGGATGCTGGTGGCTCAGGACCGTGCTTTGTGGCATTCCTTGGGGGAGGCCTACGTTCAGCAATGGGCTGTAATGATGATGATGACAGTACAGCCACTGCTACTTGGCGACAGAAATAGATGAGAGAGTGGACCGACCTAAACAAACTCCGAGGCATGAAAGGTGTCCCAACACCATTAGAGGCACTTTATAAGAATAATAAGATTTCGTAGCAAATTATATAAACTGCATGTTTAATCCAATTTTTCTACATTTATTAGTACACTATTCCATGAATATTTTGTAAAACCTTTCCTCCCTTTCCCTCTTAGAAAAGAGCCTTTTTGAAAGGTCTGCAATGCACTTGTAATTCCAACAGTGTTGCAGTTAGTAGTAATATTTTACCATCAGTTGAGCCACAAGTTCGTCTGTGTTTCCTTCTATGTATAAAAAAGTATAATAGTACAAGTATACACAAATATATATCAGGTGCTGTACTACACATGGAAACTGTGCTCCCTGGTGTTCTCGCACTTCGTGATGATCAGCCTGGTGGTGGCCTATTGTATCCTTGGCGCCGTCACCTTCGAGCGGCTGGAAGCGCAACATGAAAGAGAAGTGGGTAGTTTTTGCAATATCTATATATTACTAAATGAATCTGCCTACTCTAACACAAGAAATTAATTTAAATCAAGGTGCACGCACATTCGAAGTTAATCAAAAATAATAAGTGCTAAATGCTATTATTTAATATTTAATCTCGTATCGTTAAGCAACGCGTAGAGCGCCTCCCCACTGCATAGACTGACGATCTGCTAAAAGATTCAGAAATTCGATGGATGCCCAGGACCGTGTTTTATGGCATTCCTTGGGGGAGGTCTATGTTCAGCAGTGGACTTTTTGTGGGTTGTAATGATGAATAGCGAATGAATTAAAAGTTTAATTTTTTTAACACTGTTAATTCTAACTATATTATTGATGGTTTCAATAATATTCACAGATCAATTTCAGAAAAAGCAAAAATGTCGTTTTTTTTTGCTTTTTTGTTCAGGTTGCCAACTGCCATTTTTATTACTCTGTGTTGTTATCAGGAAGATGCTGCTGCCCATCTCCTATTTTATTCTTTCTCTGTCTTCCTTTTTCTCACATCGCCACTGCACTGTTAACGTTGTGACGTTGTTTGATACGTTCAATGATTTGAAAGTTGAGAGGATTGCTTTTGATTGAAAAGACAGAAAGAGTCTTGAGATTTCTTTATTTTAGAAACTGACAACGACAAGACAAAGCCATTGATATTTTTGACAATTGACAATCAACATAGACTAAAACATCATAGCCGAATCAGCAGTAAGCAAGTAAGAATTTAGTGCGGAGACTGATGGTGAAAAGTCGATCTAAAAATGCTGCGCTTATATTTCACAAAATGGTGATGGGGTTCAGCATTAATTAATGCTCGGGCATCCGTACACACACACACACATACACAGCGTATTTAATATTGCCTAATTTTTACGACGTTACAAGAAAGCGTGGCAACTATCGTAAATCTCAATGAGGCAATTTAGTGGAGGCCTTTGTTTAGCAATGAAATTTTTAATATATAAAATTATGGGTTGTAATGAATTAATTTATTTATTTATTTATTTATTTTCCACTATACAATTATCTTTACAGGTTTATCACCTAATGCGATAATGTAGACAACTATTTTACCAACTACAACTACACAGTTACAAGCTAATAATTTTCGATTACAGATATGTACTTATTGCTATTTCAAACACGTATCTATATCACATAAGGACCATAACTAATTTCAAACAGAGCTCTTACTATGAACCCACCCAGAGTACAACAAAATATATCTATGTCTTCTGCTATACGGTTGAGGATACGGAGGGCGCGCGTAAAGGGCGCTTCAGTCACCAGCTTAGTGCGGCCGCGCGGCACAGCTATCAGCTGCGGCCGCCGCCGCCGCCACATGTATCTGTCCGGAACACATATGCGCACTTGTTGCAATACGTCTGGATTGTGAATCTTTCCCCTCATCACCTTAAAGATATATGAAACAAGCGCTAAATTCTTTCTAACCTTTAGCTCATTGTATCCTACCATACCTAAGGTGAATAATGTACTTATTTGGGTAAAATGGGTATACTCCATACATTTTTGATATAAATATCTAATAAATATATTCTGCACTCTCTCCAACATGATACTATACTTAGTCTCATGTGGAGACCAGATGGCCGCGTTGAATTCTAATTGGCTCCTCACTAAAGAATTATATAATGCAATAACTGTCTTTATATTAGTGAAGTCCCTAGCTATCCGTAGTACGAATCCCAAATTTCTGTAGGCTTTCTTACAGATTTTGGTTATATGCTCTCCAAATTCTAGTTTAGAGGAGAAATTAACCCCTAGATCTTTGATTTTTGACACTTTCGCTATTGGTGCCCCGTTAACCTGGTATTGGTACGTAACTGGAGATAGTACACGGCTGAAGGTCATAGTTATGCACTTCGTGATGTTAAATTGTAAGTTATTATGTAATGAATGTGCGTTGTTTACGGGTGGCGTAGCGTAAGGGAATTTATTTCTTTATTTTGTCCCGCGGTGTCCTGAGCTCCTGAGAGACTACTGAGATACCGCAGTCGTAAAAAGTAGTCGTAAAATACCCAAGTCGGGATGAGCGGTAACGTCAAAGGTGCAAGACATCTGGTAATTCGACCACAAATTACATTTATTGGCACTTTATGTCAGTAAAACCGACACCTATGCCGTGACGGTATGATATGACGCTCTTTTATGCCGCCATGCTCCCTCTACGTCCGCTCTCGACTCCCTTCTATGTGCATGCGCGTATACAAGCTTACTATAACCACTTCGTTGCTTCTTTGTGACAAATAAATAATTATGAATTAATTATGAATTATGAATTATGAATTGCTTCTTTGTGTGAGTTGCGTATTGTATGTGCCTTTCGTTATACTGTTATTTCCTTTTCTTGTGTTTAAATTTTGTAATTATTATTATAATGATATTCTCTTATATATAGAATGTGGTGGGGAATGGGACTGAGAATGAGGTGGTCGCTTCCAAGCAGTTTCTAAAATAAATTATGTAAATATTCTGTGACCCTTGACATTGTAAAATTTATTTTAAAAAAAAGTCCCGTTGGGTTTCTTGCTGGTTCTTCCCAGGACAGAGGTTTTTCTTCCGAACCAGTGGTAACGTAAAATATTGACTTTCAATAAGAATTACTTGTAATCTATATTGAATAAAAAATTATTTTATTTTATTTTTTATAAATATAATTAATATATTAATTTTATTAACGGGTTGGCTCGACCGGGGGAAGACCATGCTCTGAAACAATATAAGCGTCAAATAGCAACTTAATTATACTGTGTTGCGCCTGGTGAGTCAGAGAACTTGAGTCTTTTTACTGGTAAAGAGGCATTTTACCTTATTCCTCAGGGTTATCAATGCATCTGCATTTTGATTATTAATCAGGGATAGCTGTAGGCGTCTACGGACCACAGCATCCACTTGCCATTAAGTGACTGTGTGCTTATTTGTCACTATTTATATTATATTATACAGGTGAAGATGAACATCTCGCAGATCCGCAGCAACACGACGCAGAGTATCTGGCACATGACGCGTACGGTCCCGCTGCTCAACCAGACCAACTGGACATCCGACGTCGTCGACATGCTTAAGGTTTTTATGATGATACTATGGATCCGCCCCGGCTTTGCACGGATGATTTCTGGATCTTGACAACAGTGTCTCCTACCGGGTCCAATTGTGAATATATACCATCCAGAGATCCATTCCCACAGGAACAAAAAAAATCATCAAAACTAATCCAGTCATTCCAAAGTGATGATCTTTCATACTTATGGCAATTTTTTAATTAGGTTCCTTAATTTGGACCGAAAAATCTTCGTGTTAGTAGGTAGTTACAACAAAACTTAAATCTAGTATTAATAACCTTACCTATTTATTGATTAATTATTTATTTTCATTTTTTTTTGTTTTCATTTGTAAACCTATTATTGTGTTGCAATAATGGTTATTATTTTATAAAACTATACACCCGATTGTTTTCATTATTAGATATTTCTAAAACTATACACCCGATTGTTTTCATTATTAGATATTTCTAAAACTATACACCCGATTGTTTTCATTATTAGATATTTCTAAAACTATACACCCGATTGTTTTCATTACTAGATATTTCTAAAACTATACACCCGATTGTTTTCATTATTAGATATTTCTAAAACTATACACCCGATTGTTTTCATTATTAGATATTTCTAAAACTATACACCCGATTGTTTTCATTATTAGATATTTCTAAAACTATACACCCGATTGTTTTCATTACTAGATATTTCTAAAACTATACACCCGATTGTTTTCATTATTAGATATTTCTAAAACTATACACCCGATTGTTTTCATTACTAGATATTTCTAAAACTATACACCCGATTGTTTTCATTATTAGATATTTCTAAAACTATACATCCGATTGTTTTCATTATTAGATATTTCTAAAACTATACACCCGATTGTTTTCATTATTAGATATTTCTAAAACTATACACCCGATTGTTTTCATTATTAGATATTTCTAAAACTATACATCCGATTGTTTTCATTATTAGATATTTCTAAAACTATACATCCGATTGTTTTCATTATTAGATATTTCTAAAACTATACACCCGATTGTTTTCATTATTAGAAATTTCTAAAACTATACATCCGATTGTTTTCATTATTAGATATTTCTAAAACTATACACCCGATTGTTTTCATTATTAGATATTCCTAAAACTATACACCCGATTGTTTTCATTATTAGATATTTCTAAAACTATACACCCGATTGTTTTCATTATTAGATATTCCTAAAACTATACACCCGATTGTTTTCATTATTAGATATTTCTAAAACTATACACCCGATTATTTTCATTATTAGATATTTCTAAAACTATACACCCGATTGTTTTCATTATTAGATATTTCTAAAACTATACACCCGATTGTGTTCATTACTAGATATTTCTAAAACTATACACCCGATTGGCTTGGAATTTACTATAATTACGCATTCCTCAATGTCAGCGCTTGCTAAGAACAGATTTTACGATAGTCCTATCAAAAAAAATCCTTGATATTTTACATCTAGATTCCGCAATAAAACATTATAGTCCAGGATCCATCGCCCATTTTTGCACGTGATTACTATGCAGCTAATTTTCCATGAGTAGCTTTATTTTGATGAGACGCCCAATAATTGCCTGTACGAAACTCTCGATTGTGGTAGCTAATAGAAGTAGCAAGGATAAAATATATTGATTTGATGATTCTCAAATATTTATTACTAACTGATTTTTTTTGTTAAATCTCAAGATAATTATCTAAATTATTCGAAAAAATATATGTCCTACAAAATCTATGGTTTGATCGAAGAGTCCCCTCTATCCAATATGTATCGATAACGAGGTCATCATAAATGATTACTAAACAGCTGATTTTTTTTACTTAGTTAATATTTATATAATTTAACAGACATATTGTCCTACAAATTGGGTGGTCCTACGCTATGAAAAACGCTCAGAAGTTGTTAATACCACAAGACCATTTTATTGCAACGTGCAAAAATGGGCGATGGTTCCTGGACTATTACCGTGAGCCCAGCGAAGCGAATGGGTAACAGCTCGTATTATTATATTAGACGCGTGGGGCATACTTCAACTTTTTGGTTTTCTTAAGATTAAATTCACTTAATCATGTCGTAGCGATCATAATAATTAATTAACTACTTATTTACAAGTGGGCGTAAAATCTACATAGATAACATTTTTGTTCATATCTTAGTTCCCCGAAAGTTTTCACCGAATATTTTGAATTTTTGACACAATTCATTTGAATATGTGCGTGTTTTATATTTTTTTTATAGGATAGGGTGACAAACTAGCACACAGTCCACCTGATGGTAAGTGGTTGCTGTGGCCCATAGACATCTACATCTGTCCTCGATTACAAATCAAAATGCAGATGCGTTGTCACCAGTGAGGACTATAAGATGGAATGCCTCGTTTCCAATAAAAAGGGTCTCCGGTTCTCTACACTCACCACACGAAACACAGCAGTTCGCTGGTATTCTGGGAGAGCGTGGTCCTTCCCCGGTTGAGCCGACCCATTCGTGCTAAATCTATACTACTAATATTACTGCAGCATGGCTCTACCACGTATAATTTTTGAATCATTTTTTGAGCCACCGCGTCGTGTGGTTGAATACAGCTACCTATTTATCAAATAAATATCATACGAGTATGTGTGTAAAAAACTTCTTGTATCTTATTATTAATAGTTACTCAAATTAAAATGGAAACTAGTATTTTAGTTGAAAGCGTTAGATTTTAGCATTATTTCTAGTATTAAATATCGATTTCTACGAACAAAATTTAATATTTTCATAAGTGTAACTAAATTCTATAAAAGATTGTGAAGTAATAAAAATCTAAATTATGCCCAGGACTTTGAGAATGCGATCCTACTGGAGATGAAAGTCCGCGGGTGGGACGGCAACGAGAGCACCGAGCACATCCAGTGGACCTTCACCGGTGCGCTCTTCTACAGCATCATTGTCATCACTACTATCGGTGAGTAGACTATGCTAATGCATGTTAATTAATTTATTACAGAATATAGATATCAATCGATTTATTTAATTTTTTAAGCTATTGCATAGCTTCTATCGCGGGCCTTGAGCGCGGGGACCGAATCCAGAAATTCCGTAACGAAAAAAAACCTCACGCTCCCCACTCCGACGGACACGGAGGTGTGGCGTTGAAAGCCGTGCATCGTCTAACGTCGTTTCAGTTCGGCAGACTTCGGCACTCGGCAGACTTCGGCACACGGCAGACTTCGGCACGGTGTTTGTGTGCGTGCGACTAGACGTATGCGTGTACACTAGCTGCTAAATCAATGATAAAAATTTCTGAATAACCTACATGTATTGTAAGATATTAAAACTATTTTAAACAATATTAACTTCTCATTTATTCAATAAGAGAAAAAAAAATTGTTTTCTTATCGGTCACCACGCTCAAAAAGTGTAACTTGATTTAATATCAAAGACTTAACTGCATAAATAAAATAAATAAATAATTATAATTGCATAAGTTGATAAAAAATGCTATGCAATAGCTTTACCGCGGCAGTCACCGAGTGCCACACGTATTTTATTTTCATAATAAATCAAATATGTTAGAGCCACGCTACAGCTACAATATAGTAATAGCGCTAATGAATCGGTTCGAACGGGGCTCTCAGAGATTACCAGCGTAAAATAGTAGCTTAATGCTACTGTGTTTCGTATGGTGAGTGTAGAGAACCGGATACCCTTTTTACTGGAAACGAGGCATTCCATCTTAGTCCTTAGTGCTGACAACACATATACATTTTACTTTTAATCGATGATAGGTGTAGTTGTCTATGGGCCACAGCATCTATACCATCAGGTAGACTTTGTGTTCGCCCTTATTCTATTAAAAAAAAAGAAAATGAAGTATAACTTTGTATGAATCTCCGAATCCAGATAGCGCCAATACGATGTTTGTAGCGATGTGGGTTGAATTGATGGGCTAGTTGGTTGTTTCCAATGCGCAATATATACAAAATCATTATGAAAATGATCTCAAAAAACGTAGTACTGTAATCGAAACTTGTTGACCATCCACGATGTGATAATAACTATACTAAACCTTAAATATTGCAAATAGTAGAGTAACTTACATAGCAAAACGGATTAATAAGCTTTGATTGGATTGGACTGACCATAAAGCTCGAAGAACTGACAACTGATGGGGAAGTAAGCAAAGTGTAGGGCGGCTCCCTACTAGATAAATTGATGACCAGATATGATGTAGTAATTCGATGGGTGACTCAGGATCGTGCTTTGTGGCATTGTTTATAGGACGCCTAAATTTAACAGTGGACTTGTGAAGGGCTGTAATGATGGTGATAATGATTGCAAGTTGATGAAGAACTAAACGATGAATTAAACTAGTTAATCAACTAGTTGATAAATGAAAATCAATAGTCTAGTTACGGTAACAAAAATTGGTATAATTACTTCATAAACAGTACAGTCACTATATACGAAAAATTTCTGCTCCAATTGACAAATTGATCTGCATACAGTGCCTCAACTAATCAACGAACGAGGCATTGACAAAAATCTATTCATAAATGAAGGATTATCTTTTGGAAAATGCTGAATGCTACTCTGTCTTTTGCATGGAAATGTGCCTGGTACTATCTTAATTAATTCTGTTGTAAACCAGCCCTGCATTCGTTAAAAATAAAAGTGCGTGTTACCTGTGAGGACTAAACTAGAATGCCGTTACCAGTAAAAAGTGTCTCCGGGTCTCATCATTACAACTATAGCAGTATCCTGCTATTTTATCTAGTATTTAGTGCAATCGTGCCCTTCCCCAGTTAAGTGTAAATTATTTGTGGTGCGGCCATTATACGTTGCAGATACGATCACCTAAACCGACACCGACACTGACACCTGAAAACTGTTTTTTGCGACTTTTATGATAAATTTCCCGTTGTCTCTTCTTGTTTCTCTTTTTGTTTCTTTTGCAATTGATTTTAAACAATATTCTACCGAACCTCGATACTTGAAACGTTAATGTAGCTCAGAACGCTCTGAAAATGAATATAAGCTTATTTTCTTATCAGTCTGATCGCTTGTTTGTTTGTTAGTTACAGATTTGGCATTCGATTTTAAACAAATTTCTCGATGATGATTCAAAACTGGAAACGTGGTAAAAGACGGTCGCCATTTTGAAATATAAGTATGAAGATACTATATGAATACTAGAATTCACACGCTTTTATTTTACTGTAGATTCCGCCTGCTGTAAATGAAGTCAATAATAGTTTAACCTGCGAACGGAATATAGTGGCTCTTGGCGAGAAGGTCGTAAATGATATTTGTTGATACAGCATCGGTCTGGGATGTGTTTCGCAACGCGCTCAAATCTCCTGACATTTACAGATCGATTGTTGTTTTATCGGTTTATTTCGATCTTTGCCGCGGCGCTTGAATATATTGGATAGAGATGTTCTCGAGGGTTATGACTGAGTTTATGGTTAACGAATAAATAGTGCGTTAGGCAACCCACGTAAAAATATCGATAGTTATTATTAATAAAGTGGCGATATAAGAATATCCACTACCCTTACCCACTACCCCTACTATACATTCCTGTGGGTGTCGTAAGAGGCGACAGAAGAAAATTTAAACAGCTGATGGGCAGCAGCATCTTCCTGATAACCACGAAAAATAATAAAAACTGCAATTGCCAAGCCACCTGCCAAGCCTCACACCTATGGCACAATCCCCCCTATAAGTCAGTCTACGGGGGAGGCCTATATTCAACAATGGATAGTGGTATTTTTTTTCTCTTTTTTAAAAAATGTTACCCCCGCTCTAGGATTTTCTCCTGTATCGTGGAGGCAGTTTACAAACATAAATTGCACAAGGACAAACATCCAGACCCGGAACAACTATTTGTAGGCCATACAAATACTTGTTCCGTGCGGGATTCGAACCCGTGACCCCCAGCGCAGCCACTCATTGCTAAGCCACTGCGCTAAGAAGCCGTCATATTAGAGTTATGTTGTTTATTACAGACCGTCGCTTACCTCAGCTGTGTTTATTTTGATAGTCGAATATTTAGATGGATGCGATCGTTGAATAAAAAATTGTTATTTTTGTAATCGATTTCAGTTATGTTGATATTATGGTACAGATTGAAAAAAATTACGTTGCTAGCGGTGCCAGCGAATGAGAATTAATCACTCTTTTCAATTAAATGCTTTTTAAAAAGAACTTAATATATGGAGTCCTGTTTAATAGATCATATATTACAATAATATTTAGGAAAACATAACTACCCGAACGTGATGGATGTTTGGTCGCGACTGACTGTGGATGCTCTGCTGTGTTCGCAAACAATGACTAGATAACCGTGTCAAGACTATGGGTTCTAGACCACTCAAGGGATCACTACTAAGCAATATTATTGGATGGTCTGCAATATATATACTAGATAAGGGCATGGTATAACAACTCAATTCGTTGTGGGCAGCATATACCATTGTGAATGCAAGCACACGGTTAAATTATAATTCGACCGTGTACTTCCGGTGTAAGAACAGCCGCTATATATCGTCGTAAGACACGACAGGGGAGAACTGAAACAGGTATGGGCAGCGGCATCTTCCTCGTAGCGGCGGAATAAAAATACATAACAGCGTGTGCCAACCCGCCCGCCAAGCTTGGCGAATCCCCAATAAGGCAATCTATGGGGAGCCCTACGTTCAACAAGGGACTTTAATAGGCTATAGTAGATGAAAAAGATGGGTATAAGTTATACTTGCGATTGGTATCACTTGGTGGAACTGGACTCGTTTCACAATATTTATTTGAAATCTATACTATACGAACTATAAAAACTGACCAATTTCGCCACACAGCATCATCAGGCGTTTTATATATATATATATGACGAATATGTACGTATATATATGTCTATACTATATTCATATGTGACATATATATATATATATATATATATATATATATATATATATATATATATATATATATATATATATATATATATATATAAATATAATAAAAAGTTTTTATGCAAAACACAAAATTCATGTAGGTTTGTGAGCAACATTATGGCTTAGTTATTCGAGGATAGATGTAGTTATTTCATGGCCTCAGAGTCCACTTACCATCAATTGGACTCGCGATCACCAAGGCTGCTGATTCTATGATGGTGACAGCTACAGTGAAGTCCGATGAATTATAAAATATAATGCCATCTACCGGAACTTTTGTGAACTGATCGTTTATCATCGTTGTATAAAAAAATATCGAACGTCACAGAATTATTTTAACCAGTCCTACTTTTATTTATTTAAAATTTTCATCGCCAAGCCGTCAGAGATGACTCGATATCATACGCGTGTGGAAAAGCTGGCTCCCCGCCAGCTTCTGTCAACATACGTCATTTTTTTTCCAAGCCAACTAGAAACTATATTTTTAAAGTAATTGGACACATTTGGATTAAGTTTATTGTACCAGTTGAAAATAAAAATATTCCCGTTTAAAAGTACAAAAAATTTACGTCGCTGAAAAGACTTTTTTCTATACTAATAAAGTCCACTGCTGGACATATAGAGGTGGTGTTTGCCATAGTTGCCGGCTCGGTAAGCGGGTTGGCAACCGCAGATTTTTATTGTCATATATCCAAACTAATTAGAGATTAGAGATCTCACTAGTGTCACAGCGGTGACACTCCCTGTACGTGAGAGCTTAAGCGCCGGTGACCTTGAGTCGAAGCGTGTAACGCTAGGGTTGATATTGAACCGAAATGGGATATTATAGACTATTACCAAAGAAGATACATAGTAGGTATATGTTATATATTATGTAAACGTATGTATTTGTGTAGTCAAAGATACATTCAATTTTAAATCAACTTTTATTAAATATCTTTACAAATGAGGAATATTAAAACTTCCGACAAAACCAAATATGCACGACAGTTAATGGTAATCATAAATAATTAACCAACACTTAGTATTTCAGTACGCAATAATCAGTATTACCTACTATCTTTTAAAAATTAATTTACTCTTATATATTTTTGAATTTTTCGATTACTCCTATAATTTTCATTATTTTTTTCTAGCAATTGCAAAAATTCGTAGCATGTATAATTTTTTATAGATATATAGACAGATATATATATATAGATAGATATATATATATATATATATATATATATATATATATATATATATAGAATAGTAATATGTGTAACCGTCGTATTAAGAAATCAGTAATATTCATATATTAAATGAAATATTATAATTTCACTTAACGAATATATATATTCATACTGACAAATATCGGTATACTACTAGCCCTCGGCCAGGGCAGTCGGCGACTGCCCGTTCCACGCCCCGCGCGCCTCTCAAGGCCCCCGCGCACATCCAGACACCCACACATAGCCGCAAGCGATTTTACGTGCACACATGCTTAAGTGTCGTTTCTTTTCGCGTAGTGTATATATTCTTTGCTAGTGTCGAGACAGCTAGATTAGTTTATTTCAGTTGTTTCCATAGTATAATGTTATGAGATTTTGTTATGGGAAAATGTAGCTGATTTAAAAACTATTTATGTTTTACAGAAGACGGACATAAAAGCTATTTACAACCTAAAACCGAGAGAGGCTCTTAGAGAAAAATAAATAAATGTAATAACTTTGGCTTCTCACTATATTGACGAAAATTTAATGTATATTCATTAAGGTAGACGAAGCTAGTTTTAGTAAAAAAAGTGATTTACATTCTGTAAACACTAGAAACAAATACAAGTTAGTGATACTAGTTTCTCGACTTCACAGAGTCAGTAATTATTTTGTGTATATGGGCAAAGTCCAGAAAATTGGTGGGTTTTAATTAAATGAATACATGGTGATAATAACCCCCTAGGAATAAAGTGGTCGCTTCCAAGCTGTTTCTAAAATAAATTTTGTATTCGTATTGTAAAATTTATTTAAAATAAAAACCCCGCTGAGTTTCTTGCTGGTTCTTTTAAGGGCAGAGATTTTTTCCCGAACCAGTGCTAAAGTAAAAATGTCTTTCAATAAAAATTTAAGCGATTTATATTAAAAAAATATTCTATTCTATTTTTAGTTGTTATTCAAACCCGATACTGCCCATTTTCAGATTTATTTCCTTCTATCATCTCTTACGACTTCCACGAGATGATATCTTATTTAATATCATTTCGTGGATGTCGTAAGACATGAGAGAGATTTTATAAGTCTAAAATGTATTTCATCTTGAGTATAATATACCTAAGAAGTCTGTTTTTTACCAAATACATTTATGATAAACTCCATACTAAACATGGTAATCTAATCTTTAAAAATGACGCACAACAAAAATATCTTATCGTCGGTAAAATTACACACAAGGTCCTTGAACTCCTATTCTGTCTGGAGCCCGTATGGGTAGGTGCACCATATCACCCAGTTCTGTCGCCACACTGTCACCATTATCATTACAGCCTTTCACAAGTCCACTGATGAACATAAGCCTCCCCCAAGAAATGCTATAAAGCACTGTCCTGAGCCACCTGCATCCGACTTCCTGATGTCTTATCAAGTCGTTACCAGGCTTGTACCGTATTCCTGTCTAATTACCGGTCTCGGTTAAGATTATAACTACAGGCTGTGAGTCATTCCATCTTAGTTCTTAGAGGTGACAACACAACTGTAGCCTTCTATAGTCCATGGACTGCAGCAGACTTACCATCATACAGCATGCAGATTCGTTGTTCCATCAATTAGACAGTTAGTTCGTACAGCACACTTGCAGGGTCCTACCACCTAATAACTTGATTAGTATTTCTGTCAGAGGCCATTGACGTGGGGTGACGGGATATCTAACAGTATAACAACACAGCAAGAGAATAATATGTAGCAGCAAGAATTCTAGTGCTAATTTTACGCCTTTTATCTACAACTGTTTGGCTATATATCAGGCACGAAACAAGTGTTTAGTGTTCAAGCTATAATGTACATACATCTTGCAATGAAATTGGGCGGTCTTTACTCGTGGTTGAATGTGCACATCGACATTGCGATAGAGTGCATGTCTGACGAAGCGAACAGTGCTAGCGTGAATTTGCTAACCGGACCCGCACACTTTGACACGTATTCGTGTTTACCACAAGTAAAACCCGCTTGACTTCGTGAAATGTCAGAAATCTTACAGAAAATATCCTAGTGTCGAGTCAATGCTTTTTAAAAATATAGAAAACTAACGCATGAACTAGCTTTAGTTAAATAATAAAGGGTTAAAATTTTAAGTTATATTAAAATTTATTGAGTGTACAAATATAGGAATCCCGATGTTTTCACAGTAGATTCTTTTATATTAGTTCAAGTACGCAATCTTTTACGCGTGTACTCCGCAATCGGTACTCACATTCACAACTCAGCGACACATTACATTTACTTGTTAAAATATTTACATTACAGCACTAACATACGATTGCGTTAGACACAGGTACTTTTATATTAGCAATATAACATCTACTAACACAATAGTCAACACTCATTTTCCATAGTTTCCATAAGGGCCTATCCTACCGGTTGGTCCTCCGGGTCCGACTAAAATCGGTCGTCGTCCACCCGGATATTGTCGACCATAGTTGGGTCCAATTACACCTGTTGGTCCTCCAGGGCCGATCAGAACAGGTCTACCTGGTCCAATTACTCCTGTAGGTCCCCCGGGACCGACGAGAACGCCACGTGGATTATATCCCGGTCCAATGATACCAGTTGGACCACCGGGACCGACTAATACGGGCCTTTGAGCAGTCTCACTCGGTCGCACATCTTGAGGATCCCTGTATCCCCCCAGGCGAGTTCCTTCGTTTGGCCCGATTATACCTGTGGGTCCTTCAGGACCGACAAGGACAGGTTTTTGGCTAGGTCCAATGGTTCCGGTCGGGCCGTTGGGTCCAACTAAAATGGATGGATTATCACTAGGTCCTATAACTCCAGTAGGGCCCTCAGGACCAACAAGCACTGGCCTGTTACTCGAGTTGATTGTATTCCCTTCATTATTGAAAGGCCTTCTAGTGTCGCCGTAGATTCCGGTAGGGCTACCAGTCGGACCTACAATTCCAGTAGGGCCATTAGGTCCAACAAGGACCGGCCTCTTACTCGAGTTGATAATATTAACGTTATTATTAAAAGGCCTCCTAGTGGGCTCGTAGTTTCCGGTAGAGCTATCAGTCGGACCTATAATTCCAGTAGGACCGTCAGGGCCAACAAGGATCTGCTTATTATTTGGTCCAAAAATACCTGTCAAACCATCAGGGCCGACTAGTACAGAAGGCCTGGAGTTAACATTTGTGGGTCTTTGGGCGGGGTTGAAGATTTCCTTAGGTCCTTGTGGTCCAACGAGGATACCGGGTCGTGATCCCATTGCAGATAGCAAAGCGGCTTCATGTGCGTGCCCCGGCTCGTAGTGACCAGTCAGCAGGGTGTCGGGAGGCGGGGGGAACGGCCCAGCGCTGAGGAACTGGCCAGGCAGCAACATTGGCCGTTCGTCCACTAGTTCGTTGAAATATTCTATCGAAGATAGAAAGATTTAAAATTAAAAAAATTGAAAAGATATGATCAAATACAATTGATATATATAGTAAAAATTACATGCTAATATATATAGTACTACGTACTAGAAGAGACTCCAGGATTTGGTTGGTTGCAACACACATTACAGCTTGCGGGCTCCAACTTAGTCTGCCATAAAAATGTACTTTGTGTGTCTCTTCACGTGCCCCCCACTGCCGCGCAGATTTTGTTCGCGGTGACTGACTGTTCTAATATGTAGTATATATTACCTCAATATCAAATACATACATATATTGCGTCACGCCTGTTTTCCAAATGTAGATGTTTGCCCACCGTCCGCACAGTCACAAATTCAATATTCCATTAGCCTCTTTTTACGCCACGCCAGGCGAGCGACACAGCCAGCACATCTTTCTTTATTATAAGTCTTTTATACTTCGATCATTTGGTATTGTTGATCGAAGCTGCTATAGCATATAATATTTATAAGTCCCGAAAAAGATTACTGTACAATATATTGTAAACACACGTTTTTTTTCGTACCGGTGCGGTGGTATAAGCATAAATGACTTTCAGTACATACATAAATACATAAACACTCACGCCTGTCATCCAGAGGGGTAGGCAGAGACTACAGACTTCCATTTAGCACGATCCTGACATACCTTTCTCGCCTCTTCCACATCCATATACCTACGCATACATGCTCGTCGGTTAAGGGTACTCTTAATTTGGCCCATTTTTAGTATATCGCCAATTTGGTCGACAAACTTCCGCCTAGGATGTCCCTTTCCGACTCTTCCATTCACTTCTGCAACATATATTTGCTTTGTCAGTCTTTCCGCATTCATTCTTTCTACATGACCAAACCACCGAAGCATTCCTTTCTTAATCCTGGTCACCGCATCATCTTGCAAACCACACTCTTCTTTTATCACACAGTTTCTCACCCTGTCACTCAGGTTCAGCCCTAACATACTCCTTAGCGACCGCATTTCTACTGCATTTATTCTACTCTCGTGCTTCTTCTGCCACACCCAACTTTCACTACCATACGTTAAAGTAGGGACTAATACAGCACTGTGAATTGCCATACGTGCCTTTTTTGACACATTCTGACTTTTCACAATAGAGTGTAGAGCCCCATTTACTTTATTTCCTGCATTCACTCGTCGTTCAATATCCTTATCATATCTCCCATCCCTGCTGAATACACATCCCAAATATACGAACTCATACACTTGCTCAATTAACTCTCCTTCTATTCTTATTTCACATACCGTTTTGCTTTCATCTTTTTCAAAAACCATCACTTTCGTCTTACTTGCGTTCACTTTCATTCCCCTTTCTTTTAATGACCTGTTCATTAATGTAACCATCATTTGCAACTCGGCCGCCGACGACGCAAGTATGACTTGATCATCGGCGTACAAAAGGCATTGTACTTTCAGTAGATTTTTTAATTATCTACCAGCTGGTACCCGGCGCGTTCCTGCTGCAGAAATAATAATAATTGTGGAAATATCGCTTTAATTTGAAAGAGTTATATTGTTTCATTAGGAATGAATTGAATGCTACTCCGTAAATTAATTGTACTATGCCTATAACATTCGCGGAAGTGGGAGCAATCTGATGGACGGTATGGCAGCGCATAAAATACAAACTAATACTAGCTTTTATATAATAGATATTCAATAAAAATATTCTATTCTATTCTCTTCCCAGATCAAAATGGGACATCAAATAAAGTACGAAGTAAAGAAATTTAAATAAATAAGTCAAATTCGGTTTTCTGCACTCATCATACGCTTTATTAAGCGAAATTAAGCTGCTATATTACGCTGGCATTCTGTGAGAGCGTAGTCCTACCTAAATTAAGCCGACCTGTTCGTGCTACAACCATAATATACCTGCAGCATTACTATTTACCTGAGGGCCGCTGTTTGTGTTCACTGTAGCAGCACAGGTACATGTTGGCGCCGCACACTCTCTGAAATGAAGATATAAAATATTATATAACTACTGACACATTTTTGATATGGTACCTTTAGGTGTCTATGGAACAATATCCACTACCCCGTATGATCCCGTGGGTGTCGTAAGAGGCGACAGAGGGAGACAGCGACGAAAAATAAAAAATAAACTGCGGTTGCCAACCCGCTTGTCAAGCGTGGCAACTAAGGAAAAGATCCCCCCTATGAACCAATATATGAAAGCAAGAAAGAAAGAGATATTTATTCGGCCATTTCTCAACAAATTAGCACTAAATACTCAAAACAAACATTATGTTTATATGGGGGAGAGAGATCTTTGTCTAGCAGTGGACTTTGATAGTCTCTAACGGCAATGGAGTCCCATTGGTTGTAGAACTATAATGGTGGTACAAAGGTCAGTGGCTTGAACTTACCGAGGAGTCGGAGCGTTGACCGCAGCTCGGTGTCGGACTGCACTTGCAGACTTGCAGCGAGTCCAGAGTGCCGTCAGACTCGTACCTGAAGTTAATGAAATTATCCGACAGTTCTTTTTAAATAGAATAAGGGAGACAGATAAGCACACAGTCCACCTGATGGTAAGTGGATGCTGTAGCCCATAGACATCCACATTCATCCTCGATTAAGCATTAAGATGCGATTTTACGTTGGTATTCGGTGAGAGCGTAGTCCTTCCCCGGTGGAGTCGCTTTTTTTGCTTTTCAATCTTTTTATAATGGTAAATAGCACTGTTGTTACGCTAAACAAAAGCCTACTCTTTCATACCTTAAAGATGCCCAGATTGTATTCAGACTTAAAGACACGCCAGCAAATTATTGCACTCCTTTGCTGTGCGCATTCAAATGCGTGGAATATCACAACAACAAGAGGGTGAAGACCAGTCAATCGCCTGGTTATCCGATAGTGTAGAGGAGAGAGAGAGAGAGAGAGAGGAATTAAAGCGTATATTTCCTGTGCACACAGTCTCTGGCTGGCTACTCTGTGCCTTTGCTGGAGGCTAAAAAGATTGGTTTCAACAAAACCAAAGTTTCTAATAAGCCTCTTAGCACGTCTTCCCACTGTTTTAAACGCTGCTACTTGGCATTTTGCAGCCAGCCTATATCTGACAGCAGTACTATATGCGCAAATCGGACTTGCGCTTTATATAAGGTAAGAAGCTGCCCCGGTGCGATGTGCCGCAGCATCCTTGCACACAACACCCAGTTACACATAATATCAATAAAGTGTGACTTCTGTAGCGGATTAAGCCCGCTACCCCGCATTTGGGGCATAATATAACAGCCACAACAGTATCATCATCATCATCATCATCATTACAGCCCTTCACAAGTCCACTGCTGAACATAGGCCTCCCCCAAGTAATGCCACAAAGCACGGTCCTGAGCCACCTGCATCCATCGACTTCCTGCGTGTCTTACCAGGTCGTCACTCCATCTAGTGGGGGTCGCCCTACACTACGCCTACCGGTACGAGGCTGCCACTCGAGAACTTTTCTTCCCCATCGGTTATCGGTTCCTCGAGCTATATGGCCGGCCAATTGCCACTTCAGCTTACTAATCCGTTGGGCTATTTCGGTCACTCTGGTTTTACTGCGGATATCCTCATTTCTGAGTCCATCACGCAGAGAAACTCCGAGCATAGCCCTCTCCATAGCTCGCTGAGCGACCTTGAGCGTCCTCATACGCCAGCAGTGAAGGACCACGTCTCAGATCCGTAAGTCATCACTGGCAACACGCACTGGTTGTACACTTTAGTTTTCAGAGATTGAGGTATACCTGACAAGAAGATGTGTCGTAATTTCCCGAACGCTGCGCACTCGAGTTGAATCCGTCGATTGACCTCTCGGTCGAAGTTGGATTTACCTAGTCGGACTATTTGTGCCAGGTAAACGTACTCGTCAACAACTTCGAGCATAGTGCTCCCCACAACTACCGGCATAGGTGTGACATGGACATTGAACATAATATTTGTTTTGTCCATGTTCATCTTAAGACCTATCCTTTGGGAGACACCATTGAGGTCATTGAACACAGTGCTAAGGTCCTCCAGCGATTCTGCCATAAGGACTATATCGTCGGCAAATCGAAGATGAGTGATGTACTCGCCATTGATGTTAATACCGTATCCTTTCCAGTCCAGTAGCTTGAAAACGTCTTCCAACGCAGCGGTGAAGAGTTTCGGGGATATAACGTCACCCTGTCTTACATCTCTTGCAGTTGGATAGGTTTCGAACTCTGGTTCTGTACTCGGATAGCCATCGTAGCCCTACTGTACAAACACTTCAGCACCTCGATATACCGACAGTCAACTTGGCACCGCTGAAGGGACTGTAGCACCGCCCAAATTTCGACGGAATCAAAGGCTTTCTCATAGTCCACATACGCCAGGCAAAGTGGCAGATTGTACTCTTCGGTATTCTGTACAATTTGCCGCAGGGTATGTATGTGGTCTATGGTACTGAAGCCTTTTCGGAAACCGGCTTGTTCGGGAGGCTGGAAGTCGTCGAGTCTGCGTGCGAGACGATTCGTAATGACTCTCGAAAACAGCACGTAGACGCGGCTCAGAAGGGAAATCGGGCTGTAGTTCTTCAAGAGAGCGTTGTCGCCTTTCTTAAAGAACAAGACCACCGCACTTCTGCTCCACGCCTCCGGAGTAGTGCCACCATGGAGGACGGAATAGAAGAACTTCTGAAGGACTTCAAGTACCGGTCTTCCACCGGCTTTCAGAAGCTCCGCTGTAATTCCATCCTCGCCTGGGGCCCTACCGTTTTTAAGGTGCTGGAGAGCCATTCTAATCTCGCTCAGACTGACGTCCGGGATATCATCGGAATAGTGTCGGGTAAGACTTGCTCTTGTATCGTTACTCACACTTGCGTGTGGCTCCAACGATGATGTGTACAGCTGCCCATAGAACCTCTCAATCTCACTCAAAATCTCAGGTGTCCCGGAAACGATGCTGCCACACTCAGTCTTCAGCTTTGACAGTTGGCTCTTTCTGGCAGACAGATCTCTAGCAAAGACTTTGGAGCCCTGGTTCCGCTCGATCGCTTCTTTAATACGAGCAGTATTAAAGTTGCGTAAGTCTTGCCGCATGCATTTGGAGATCTGTCTGTTCAGTTGCCTGTATGCTGTCAAATCTGTTAACGATTGCAGCCTCATCTTCCGTCTAACAGCCATGAGATTAAGAGTGTGATCGGAGAATTTTTGTGTTCTTCTGCGGCGGGTCTTACAGAACTTAGCTCCGACCGCATGGACGGTTTCTACGAGCTTGTCATTCATATCGTCCACTGCATTGCAATCTTCTAGGCACTGAAAGCGGTTACGTAACTCGAGCTGAAAAGTCTCGGGATTCTGGATTAGAGCACGAGGGGACGGAGCGTTGACTTCATTAGACGAGACCTCTCCAACTTAACGTTTAGGTTCAGTGTGCCTCTAACCATTCGGTGATCGCTGCCGGTTTTCACCCTTGCGATCACTGAGACATCACTGAACAGTTGGCGTCTGGTCGTCATAATGAAGTCAATCTCATTTTTTGTCGAACCGTCGGGGCTCGACCAGGTCCACTTCCTGTGGGGCCGCTTCTGGAAGAAAGAGTTCATCATAAAGAGTCCCTCTTTCTCCATAAAGTCAGCCAGCTGCTGACCCCTACGGTTCCGTTGCCCTACTCCAAAATTCCCTAACTTCAGCTCACCGCCTTCTCTTGTGCCTAGTTTTGCGTTGAAGTCTCCCATGAACACCGTGTAGTGGGTTTTGGAGGAATGCATGGCTCTAGAAATATATTCCTCTCCTCGGGATGTGCCGCGGTTGGTGCGTAGACCTGTACGACCTTCAGCGACTACCGTTTGGTGATTCTGAGTATCAGGTACGCGACCCTCGTCGACACACTCCCAAAATTTACAACGTTGTTGACGAGAGACTTGTGGACAATAAATCCGACACCTCCTTGGGACAGATGGTCGCCCTCCCGGTGATAGAACAAGTTGCCGGACTCGAGGATTATCGTGTCCTCCCCCTCTCTTCGGACCTCAGATAATCCAATAATATGCCAGCGCAACTTGTCTACCTCTTCTTCCAGCTCCAGTATCTTTTCGTCAATCCTCAGGGTGCGTGCGTTATACGTTGCCAGGTCGAGTCGTCGTAGGTGGCAACCGAACCTCCACCGATGATTCTTAGCACCCCCTGCCCCGCCGTTACCATGGTCGCCACCGTAGCCAGGAATTGTGGGGCCGCCGGGGACTGGGGACCGTTTATTTGTGTCGTTGCTCATGGGGGGATATTTGCCATAGTTACCACACTTGGCGAGCGGGTTGGCAACCGCAGTTTTTTATTGTATTATTGTTGTTATTAGGAAGATGCTGCAGCCCATCTCCTGCCTGTCTCCCTCTGTCGCCTCTTACGACATCCACGAGAAGATATGGGGTAGTGGATATTCTCAGCCGCCACTTCACGGTAAACACAACAGTATAGTATAATAGAAAGAAATAACTATTTATTTAACACACACATTTTAAATAAACAATATACAAACGCCTGAGGCAAAAATATCCACGCACCAGTTTAAGATTGTTTACGCATTAACAATTAGGAAGCAGTACATGGACGTTATTAATTAATATTTAAAAAAACAAAAAAATTAAAACGTGACATCAAATTGGTCTCCAACTCAGCATAATGCTGCAAAGGCAGCGCTGGTTTTCAGCTGGAGCCTTGTGACTTCACAGACAAGTCGGTGTGTGATAATATATGTAAATATAAGATTGTTTATCACTACTGTAACACTTACATGGGATTTCGTTGTCGGTCTCGATCGCGCTGATTGTAATTACGACGTTGTAAATCAAGGCGGCTCCCACTGTTTACTTCAACTCTTGAAGGGTAGCGTCGGGGACTTGACGGCTGATTGTAGAAGCCGTCGGCTTCCGACGGCTCTCGGACCGGAATTTCATCCAACTGTACGTTTATTCGGTCTCTAAATTTTGGAAAAGTTTCGTTAAATAATAATATTATAATTCTTTTCTTAAAATTAGGGGACCAACAAACACAGTCTACCTGATGTTTAATGGATACCATAGATATAATAAAATATTTCTATGATGGATACTGTTGCCCTTAGACATCAAAATCTACCTTCGGCTTAAAATCAAAATGCAAATGTGTTGTCACCCCTAAAGACTAAGACGGAATTCTTATTTCCAGTCAAAGGTGTCTCCCGTAAATTATATAAATTAAAAAAGTAGATGAATAAAAGTAGATAAATTAATATAACGTGTACTAAATACTATAATAATAGCGAAATATATAAAATAAATATTAGTATTAGAATTAAGGTATTGGAAACTAAAGCTAGCTTTATTTGATATATACGCTTGCTGATTGCATGTGCTGTAACTAATGTGTCACACAAAACCACATGTACCTAAATGAAATAAATAAATAAATCTTAGTTCCCCTGAGGCTGCATCCGTGGCCCTGTTTATTTGCAGATGGTTAAAGCTGTACATTGGCCGCAATAACCATTTACCATTTGGTGAACTGTTAATTCGTTTATCATTTCAATTTTGTAAAAAAATCTTCATAGAAATCGAGATACTCAGTTATTGAAAGACAACAAGTACAATTCCCAAGTACACGTGGGAGAGCCACGCTGCAGCGATATTATGGTTGTAGCATGCACGGGTCGGCTTCACGGGAAACACAGATTGGAGGTAATCTGTGATGGTAAAGAACGTGCACTCACAGAATGCCGTCGTAAGACATTAGCTTAATGATGCTATTTCGTATGATGTAGATATACGATAGAGTAGATCTTATTACGAGAAATGAGGCATTCCATCAAGGGTGACAACGCATCTGTACTTTAATTCTTAATTTATGATAGACGTCTATGGGTACACTGTGTACTCATTTGTCACACCTATTCTATAAAAAAAAACCATTACTATATGCAGAATCGGATACATAACGTATTTTGTTACCACCGACAGGTTATTTTAAACCATTGACCTTGCAAATCGACTGTCCCGGTTTTAAAAGTTCAACCAAGGTCAAGACCAAAGAGCATCTGAGGCGTATGTACTTATATTTCTTGCGTAATCGGACGCACCAGAGTGCTTTACTACAATTTATTTGTATAATTTGTGACTTAATTCCACAGACACGGACTGTCTAATGGAAAGACATTTCCTATCAAATAGATTTCTTTTTAATTTTAAATGTTATTATTTTTCTTGAACCACTACACATGGTTGCTGCAACAGACGACAGAAGGAAACTTAAACAGCGGTATCTTCTTGATAATAACATAATAAAGAGCTACAGTTGCCAAGCGTGTGTCACTCTACACCAACACCCACTTGGAGTCTACTGATGTATATATATATATATATTATATATATATATATATATATATATATATATATATATATATATATATATATATATATATATATATGACCTAAACCATAAACAATTAAAAAAAATGCCCATACCATGCTGAGCAGGTGGGTTGAGTAACCACAACGACCTTAGAATTAAATGCAAAAAAAGAAATAAAATCCCCGTGTGATATTATCAAGGAATATCTGTTTTGGCATTACTCACTAAATGACAAATTGGATTTATTACGAGACCTTGACCAAAATGCGTTCTCCTTTATGTAAAAACTTGATTTGGCGTTCAAGTTGCCCTTTCGTTTAAGCATAAGTTTTTGTATACAATATATTAAAACAAGTAATATTCATTAACATACAAATACGTGGTAGAGCCATGCTGTAGCTATATTAGTAGTATAGGTGAAGATCAAACTCTCATAGAATACCGGCGTGATATAGCTTGACGTTTCTGTGTTTCGTATGGTAAGCGTAGAAACGACAGTAGCCCAATGGCAGGGCGCGGACCGCGAACTCAAAAAGGTCGTGGATTCGAATCCGCCATTCAACTACTGGCGTGAACCACTCGTAACACAAGCAATTTAAGCTTACCACGAGTGGTTAAGGGGAATATTAGTAATGTTTATAGCATTGTTAATATTCTTTAAAAAAACCGGAGACTCTTTTTACTGGAAATGAGACATTCCATCCTATTTCTAACAGGTGCCAACGCATCTACATTTTGATTCGTAATCGAGGATAAATGTAGATGTCTATGAGCCACAGCAACCACTTACCATCAGATGGACTGTGACGGACTAAGAAATCCATAACAACAATAATAATTATTATTTATTTATTGCATTGCTGTAAACAATACTTGAAGATGACATTATTAAAGGTATCAACATTTGCCTTATCAGGCGCGCAAGAGTAAAAAAAAATTAAAACTATAATTATCGTACAGTCGTACTCCTTGCGGTACAGCGCCAAGAAAGCTGGCAGCTTTTCCTCGCCGAATGCCTATACTTAAGCTTTGAGCGAGAAAAGAATCAACTCTCTTATCCATCCATCCATTGGAGTCTATAAGATGTAGGATGCGGGACATAGGCCTCCCATGCCATGCTTGGCAGGCATTGTTTTATATTAAGAGTTGTTATCAGGAAGGTGCTGCTGCCTGCCTTCTGTTTTAGTTTCGCTCTGTTGCTTCTGACGACACCGACGGGATGATATGGGGTACTAGATATTCTTAGTTCGTGGATATTCTTACATCGCGTAGTGACACGGTGTAAGAATATCCATTCTTATCAGTTCAATAAAAAGTAAATTTACAACCTATATACATTACTACATACTACTACATACACACATGACTGACAACCCACTGCTGGGCACAAGCCTCCCCTCATTTCAGAGAGGGTTTTAGAGCAAGGAAGTGTCCACCGCGCTTCCCCAATGCGTGTTGGCGAACTTCACATGTCCTCGAAATATTTTTGTCCTATTCTTCAGACATACAGGTTTCCTCACGATGTTTTCCTTCAACGCCGAGCACGTTGTAAATCAGCACTTAAAATTGAAATTAACAATTTCATTAGTGCCGGCGGGGATCGAACCCGTGTTACTCGCGTACTATGTATGTATATATTTACAGCATGCGTTAAACATCTGGGTTACCTCGGCAGTATAATAAAATTACAGTAAAATAAAACAATCGTCCACCTGATTTTAAGCGACTGCTGTAGATCATGGACCACCGCATTCAATTTTAAATAAGTGTTTCCGAATAGCTACGACTCGCATCTGAGGATTCATAAAGAGCCTCATCATTAAAATCACCATTACAGTCCTCCACCTATTGTGGTTATATTCAGACAATCTATACTATAATAATATAATATTACAAAGAGGAAAAATTTGTTTGTTTGAATTGAATAGGCTCCAAAACTACTAGACCGATTTGAAAATTTCTTTCACCATTGGAATCCCACATTATCGCTGATTAACATAAGCTATAGTATACAAAAAGTTAATAGAAAATTCGTCAAGAATCGTTTCGTACCTTCACACTTTTTATGTACCGTGTACAGTTATCTTTAAAACTGGAAAAAACCGCTTTTTAGGGCACTTTCTGGGGCGTTCATCCGAGAGGGTGAGAGAGAGAGAGAGAGAGTGGATTAAATTTAACTTGCTGTATAACGTACATATTATGTCGATAGATTAAAGAACTTCGTTAACTTTGCCAATTTTTTAGCTAAAATTATTGAACTAAATGAGCGAGGTGTCACGTCATGTCGCGTGGCGCGGACACAGCACACAGCACAGCTAGTTATGAAATATTTTTAAAACAAAAAACAATTTTTAAAAATTTTTGTGTCTGTTTTTTTTTTGTTTGTTCCGGCTAATCTCCGAAATGGCTGAACCAATTTTGCGAAAACTTTCACTTATATGTCCCATTTTTATTTTAGGAAAGAATTGGGGTCATTTGCAAAAAACTCAAATCCATGAAATTCAACCGTAATAAATTTCACGCGAACGAAGTCGCGGGGGACAGTTAGTATGTTATAATTGAATCTTTTGATCAATTTAAAAAAAGTGAGGAAAAGTGAAACGTTGATTTAATTTACATATACACTCTGTTCTCACTTTACTTGCTTATTTATAAAAGTATTTTTGTCGGTTTACGCAAGTATTTCAAGTGTAATATGTGCAAATGCAATCGAAAGATATTGCACTAAGACTTTTGCTGAATCAATTTCATTAATGCAATCGACTTATAAATAGATTTACAAAAGAGTAGGTTCTCAATTCGATATATTTTTGTTAAGCGGTGCACTAGACCATAGCATCCCTTGGATGTCGTGAGAGGCGACAGAGGGGAACTGAACGAGGACATGGGTAGCAGCACCTCCCTAGTGAAAACTAAGAATATACAACTGCAGTTGCCAAGCCGCCTGCCAAGCGGGGAAACTTTGACAGACATCCCTCTTATGAGGAAATTTATAGGAGGGTCTATGTTCAGCCGTTGACGTTGTAACGAATAAATCAATGTTATGGGATATCTTCATAATCATGTTCCCATTCAAGTTTAAAGAAATATCCCATACCCCTGAGAGTGGAAATAGGGTGTATAGGGATGAATTTAAGTAAATCATCCCCTATATTACATCCCTTATATATAAAACATATCAACAATACATAACAACAATAACTTAACATATTTTATACGTGGTAGAGCCACACTGCAGCTATTATGGATGTAGCATAAATGGGTTGGCTCGACCGGGGAAGGACCACGCTCTCACAGAATACCAGCGTAAAATAGCAGTTTATTGCTTACGTTACGTATGGTGAGTGTATAAAACCGGTGACACGTTTTACTGCAGTCGAGGCATTCCATATTAGTCCTCAGAAGTGGCAACGTATCTGCGTTTTGATTCTTAATCGAGAATAAATGTGGATGTCTACGGGCCACAGCATCCACTTGCCATCAGATGGACTGTGTGCTCATTTGCTACACTTGTTCTATAAAAAAAGAACTAAGATTGAATGTCTCGTTTCCAGTAAAAATCGTTCCGGTCTCCGGTTCTCTATACTCACCATACGATACACAACATTGATCTACTATTTTAAGCTGGTATTCTGTGAGAGCGTGGTCCAATCTCGGTCAAGCTGACCCATTCGTGTTACAACCGTAATATAGTTACAGCAGAGTTTTACCATGTAATAATATATATTAAAGTCATTCTTATATTTGTTTTATTACTACGGGTTCCGAAAATCGTGTTAGAAATAAATTGCTAGCAACCATATCATTCCTGTCTATAGATGTGTATTAATGTAGTCTTAATATTATAATAACCCTTTTTATTTATTCTTTGTATTATTTTTGTTTTAATTTGGTAGTAGACAATTTTTTGAGATTTTGTTGTATAAACGTATATTCTCCCAAGAAAGAATCACTGACTCTGTGGAGTCGCCTTTGCTGAGTTCTTTATTCTGGGATTATTCAAGCGCCAATAAAATGTTATTAATATGCTCACCTAGTAAACTTAGGACGCTCTTAACGTTAATATTAGATGATTCAGTTTAGACCTTGGTCAAAGGTTGGCCTATTCAAGATAAAAATCATCATTAACCTTAAAGAAGTACCATGTGTGTTACCAAGACGTACAATAGGAGTATTATAACACCGACAACAATACTAGTGTCAGTGTTGCAATCATTAATAACTTGTTCCACTAGAGTGGAAGTGAAATGCACTGAGCCACTGGGTAATTCCCGAATAAATGAACTTGCAATCATGCACAACTCGTAGCTTGATTTCATTTTTTATTGCCAAATAAATTATTTCTAATTCAAGGTTCGGGTTTTCCGCGACATAGATTTCAAATAACAAATTTAAAATAAATTACTCAGAACATAAGATATTTGTACAGATTTTAAAGGTTCTATATGCACAATAATATAGTACGCGCTGTGGTAGCTCATGGCCTACGCGCTCGCTCTAAAACTCACAGTACGCGAGCAACTCGGATACGAACCCCGCCAGCACCAATTAAATTGTTAGTTGCAATTTTAAGTGCTGTTTTTCCACGTGCTCGTGGTGAAGGAAAACATCGTGAGAAAAAATGTATGTCTGAGAAATAAGAAAAAATATTATTTCGAAGACATGTAAAGTTCATCAACACGGGTAACACAAGTTTAACAACAAGGCAGCACGCGAATATTTCCTTACCCTAAAACCCCCTCCGGAATGTGAGACGGCTTGCTCCCAGCAGTGGGACGTATATATGCTATAACTAACTGACTAACTATAGTACGATATCCTAACGATATCATGATCTATATAGATTATTATAAGACAGACACTACTGTGTTTCTAATATCGCATCTGAATCGTTCTTCAACCTTGTCGCCTAGACTCGCCATGAAATTTTCCCAACATGTTGGGACTACGTTGTTGTTCTATCACGTCAGAAAATTTGGACTAGACTGACTTTGAATGAATTATGACTGCAACACGAAGTAATCAGAATGACCGAAAAAGGCTCCAACCAGCAGAATGCTGTGGCTTCGTTTATTTAATAACGAGAATCTGTTAACGGATATTAGCGTAAAATAGCAAGTTTAATGCTGTATTTCGTATAGTGAGAAACAGCACTGCATTGCACTCGATTAAGAAGTCTATAGCTACATCATCTATTTACCATCAGGTGAATTGTGAGCTCGTTTACTCGTTAACTCCTTATTCTATCAATAACCTTTTAATCGGTATTCCACATTACGCATGAAACGCAAAAAAAATTGACTGAAATAGATTATGTATTATAGATAGACTTTTATTACTTCAGGCCGTAAAAGATCACAATTGGACATGTGCCTCTTATATTGACGGAAGTTTTTCATCATCACACTTGCAAGTATAAAAAAGAAATATATTCTTTGAGAACAGTAGCAGAGAGTTCAATGGTATACTGTAAGTAATTGTTATTGCATACACGTAAGCTTAAATAAAACTATAACATGTTTTATAATGAATTGAAGAGTTTACAGAATTCCAAGGTGAATGCTATTGTGAATTTCTATAGCTAATTGCTCTGGGAGATTCAAGAAAAGCATTGTTTATTTCCAAAACAAGTTAATTGGATCACAGCGTCTGATGCGGTGACGCAAGTGTACTGCTCAAAGTGTATAGTTTCTTGGATAATAGGTGCTATTGTATTGGAAAAAACAATACTGGTAATTCCTCCTTCGTAATATATACTTTCAATGTCGGTCAAGGTGCCGAAAACGACTGCGAGGAATTGCGCGAAACGCCTTCTAGCGAGCGAAATAATTACAGTAGATAACAGTAGGACTCATGACGTATTCTGAGAGGTTACAGAAAATATCCTTCGAATGTCGTATTGAGTTTCTAACAACAAATGTGCACGATTTCAAAAAGATATCAGTAGTATACAACAGGAAGTTCTATGTCGAGGCTTGATATGTGTTTTCCGTTCTTTGTTCTATCGTCTCGAATCCTCGGATCCTTGCAATTTATTTATAATTTATTCTTAATTTATATATTGCATTAGGTTGTTTATTAGACGATAATTGCGAGTAATTTATTAGCAATTATGCATTTAAACTATTTTTTAAGTTAAAGCAATATAGTTGTTCAACACTGATACTGAAAATAATTAGTTGCAATTACGGAAGAGATTTGAATAATGCGAAGGTTGGGAGCCGTGGCAGTAGCGTATGTTACGGTGCTGTCGAAAAAATCTGCAGCTCTCTAATGAAAATAGAACATTCTTAACGAAACCCACAGCCATTGCTAAACCAAAACTTCTACATGTGATGGTGGCCTAATAGCTCTTTACCAAAACATGATAAGAGTGGAAAACGGTGGGTAGTTTTGAAGAAAACTGAGAATTAACAAAAATATCTATTAATTATTTAATATTTCAAAATGTTTACTGTACAGAAAGTATACTTTTTCATTATTTAGAGACTTACTGAGGCTCAGGGGTTAATAAATCAATTTATAAAACTGACTGCAGTTTTATATTGTAGGCAAGTAACCCGAGTTTTATCCCCGCCGGACGAATGATGTTTTAGGACGCGTTCACCAGTGGATAAAAACGTGGAAATATTTACTCCTCAGATATGAAAGGTAACATATCTGAAGATTAAAATATTCCCAGGACATGTAAAGTTTGCTAACATGCACTAGAACAGTGCGGCGAACCGATTGCACAGCTTAACCGTCTCAGAAATTAGTGGAGGCCTGTGCCCTGCTTTGACGTACTCGTAGACAATCTGTAACTTAAGTTTTATAAAAGCTTTTTCCTGTCTATTGTTACCACGTATGCACACTTTTTTAATTCATATATTTTTTTGAGAACTTGTGACCATGGTAGCATCCTATCATTCCTTTAATTATTGTGTACTCTAAACAAACTCTTTTATGGTTTTATTTCGTTTTCATATGAATGAAATAACCTATTTATTGCATATCTGCTGTATCGTGGGGGCCGTTTCAATGCACATATTGCACAATTACAAATATTCCGACTGGGAAGTATTATTTGCAATAGAAATATTTGTTCCGTACGAGATTCGAGTCCCAATTGTTATTTATTCTATTACTTCTAAAATTTATTATTTTCGACGAACTCTTAATCATTTTTGATCTTTTTGATACTGTGTATATCAGAAAAGCCTTTTAAGACACATACACTTTCTAAAGCTGAGTAGTAAGGAAACAAGCCGTGTTTTATAGGATAAGAGAATAATTTGGCTATGAGGTACTTCGTCTTAACCTCCTGGGGTGCTGGTGCATTAGCTTGAAGACGCTTGCAGGTGTCTATTGGCTGCAGAGTAATTTACCATCTGGTTGGATTTTTACTTTAATCTTTACATATAAATAAAATTGAAGTATCTGTCTGTAATAACCGATTGTGATGAAAATTTACGAACAGATAGAGAACAATGCCAGGAGGGTTCCAGACTATATTTTATGGGGAAAAAACTTGATTTTTTTAAATTGAAAATTGATAAAATGGACAGGAATTTGATTTATAAATAATAATAGCGCCATGTTAATAGATCTTGACAACAGCGCCATCTACCGTTTCCTTTGTGAATATGAACCATTCTCGAATCAACTTATCACACACACAAAATTTAATCTAAATAGACCCCCCAGCCGTGTAAGAGGCGTTCAGTCACGTACACACGGACAGAAAAATTATACGTAGATATATAAAGGTTAGCAAGGAAGGTCAAAATTAGTAAGATTACCTTGTGGAAACTGAATTCTGGCTATCGCTGGACGGTTGGTCGCTCTGTGTGAACCGAACTTTGCTGTCGATGCGGATGGACTCAGTCTCCGGGAAGCGCCATTTCTCCGCTGAGCATATGGCGAGTACCATAAACCAACACCACGTATTACCTGCAATATAATTTAGATCAATTATTTAAGAAATTAATTTTTATTCCGTTCAGCCCACAAAAAACCACTGCTAAACATTTTTCTGTAGAACAAGGGACGACAAACAGCTCGGGCTGGCAACCGCCGTTTTTTAGAAGTTATAAAAAGACCCTGCCGAACATCTGCTGGTTTATTTCTCTCTGCCACCTGTTACGACACCAACAGGATATTTAGTGGTGGATATCCTTACACCGCCACTACATGGTGCTTTTTATTAATCCACAAAAATACTACTGGTCTACTACTGACTGGTGATCCGCTAGTGGACTTGTGCTCAAATTCAAGTCACCATATATAGTAGATGAAGGATTCCTCTCATTCATTTTCTCTTGTGACGTTCAACGAGATGGTTGATAGATTACCATATGCGTCAAAGCGAGTCCTATCAGTACACACCATGAGCTCACACTTTTTTTTAACTTGGAAGAGCCAAGCTGCAGCTATATTATGGTTGTAATACTAATAGGTGAACTGATCAGGAAAGAACCACGCTCACACAGAATACCAGCGTAAAATAGCAGCTTAATACTGCTGTGTCTCGTATGGCAAGCGGAGTCCCTTTTTAATGGAAACGAGGCATCCTATCCTTGTCTTCAGGGGTGACAGCGCATCTGCCACTTGATTCTTAATCGAGGATACATGTAGATGTCCATGGGCTACAGTAAGCACTTACCATAAAGTGGACTGTGCTGTATGTGAGCTTTATTGGCTTATAAAAATCCATTGTGTTTAGATCATCTTCAGGATTTAATCACCACGTTTGGCACATTCATTGGCGATCGCTGCAACATCGTATTTTCGACGCTGCTCCTCATTGCGGGTCAAACTACTTTATGTCTGACGTAACGAGATTGTATACCGTTCTATCGGAAGCTGTCAGTTCTCTAAGGGATTTCTCATAGTATATGAAATGCCCTCCACACCGAACTTCGGTCACGGCGGCCAGTTTCATCGGAGACCAGCCATCGGCGCAGGACAGGATTATAATGCCCAAGTGTATGAGCAAGCATAGGTGCACTCTCTATTCTTTAACTTTCATAGTCAACACTACCGGCGAGACATCAGGCGCAGGACCAAATTGTTAAGGTGATTTCCAAGGTACTGAAAGTTTCTTGACAAAAACCTAATCACTGATTTCGACCCGGGATTCGAACCCGGTACCTCATGGTCGGAAATCGCGCTCATGACCGCTGTACCAACGAGGCAGTCATGGAATGTATATTAGCCTCTTCCAATGCCTAAGGGATGTAAAGGCTTGTTAGGTTCTCCGTCGCCACGGTACAAAATTAGATACCGAATTAATAAAATTTAATACATAATATTCACATTAATTAACCTCAAGGACATTCGAAAGTATCACTTAACATTAACAGTGTTGATATTGATTTAAATTTTGGCAATAATTATATTTTTCCAATATAATGAATGCGACTGCTTGATGTAATATAACCATATAGACAAGGACAGCAATATTAAAACTACATTTACAGCGCTCTTTGAAATCGAGCGGTGCCTAATTGGGATTATTTTGATAGTATTCAGATTATTTATGACCTTAATTTTTGTTCTCAGGGAAAATTTTGAACGCAAACGCATTTATTTTGTTCAGATTTATCATGGGTTTGACCTAGACCAAGAATAAATTATTGCCATACGTAGTGTAGGCGTTTAATGCCAAATTTTATGTCGATTTTGGCGGTCTTTTTGTATAGTATTTACATAGTATATATTATGAATGATAAGCAAATGATTTCTTATATTTACGCGAACATTGCACATGAAAATCCTCGCGAAAGAACACCGATTCCTACCAAGGATGATACGTGAGGCTATTGAAATTAAAAAACATCCTAATTTCAATAGAGAAGGAGGCTGGGTACTACCACCTGCTTGGGATCCTATAATCAATAAAATTAAAACTAAACCCAAGCATACCACTGCAAGACCTCAAGACATAGTCAGTTCATTTTGCATAGATCGGACCATAAACAATAATTAAAAAAGCTTAAGGTACTCCGGGTTTAACAATGACATCGGGACGTCAGTCACCTCAGTCCCCCGTGACCATGGGTGCTGGAAAGCGCCCGAAACGTCGGGAATTAAAAAATAAAAAGTAAAAATAAACGCGATAAAATCCGTAAAAGTAGTTTTAATCAAATGATAAGCAAGTTAGAAAAGGAATAGTTGCCTAGGTTGCATCTGATGTCCTACGAAGGCTGTTAAACAAAACGTGTTTCAGCTACTATAATAGATTTATACGAAACTAGCTGTTTACCCGCGGCTTCGCTTCTGAGGGTTGTATAAATACTGCTCTGTGGCAAAATTAGCAAAATTTGATCATTTCTAAAGACGCGTAGGTGTCTGTCTCTTAATCTTGTCACATGATTTTTTCGTATTCTCAGAAACTATTGGACTTAGATGTTGGAAATGTAGCATAGATTTTATATGCTATTATTATATTAATTATTATTACTTTATTTTTACTATATCTACCTATGTAACGGAATCTTTTAACGTAATTTCTACCAACTTGTAAACGGCCGATGAACTTGAAAATTTGCACTCGTATTTAAGACCGGTTATAAAACAATAATTTAATAAATTTATACGAGTATATATCTTGATCGATGATATAAAGTTATGTTATATATACTTTATTGTCATTCAGTTTTGAGGAATATTTAACGTTTCAAGTCTCTAGCTCCTCGAGAAGTTGGGTTAAAATACAGCAGATAAAAAATATAAATTCTAAAAATAAAATCAATCCTTTTTCTTTCAATAAATTTGAACAATACTATCTATATATTAATATCACTGCGTTACGTGCTTACTACCCAACGTAACAATAATAATGTAACAAGTGTATTGATCAATTTATTTAACTGGTGTTGCGGTACCTGACAAAAAATATCTAGGTTACAGATCTTTAAACTTGTATAGTATATCAATTAATACTTGTTTTTTTTTTGTTTATGTAACCGAGGTTAATTTGCAATACTTTCTTAGGTGTTTTACTCTTTGTGTTATATATTATGTATAGATAGAAGATCAGCGCCAAAATTATTTACGCTTGTGACGAAGGATAAAAACTATCCAACTAGTAATGTTCCACCGATGAGAATAGGACTATCACATGTTATGAAATTTTTAAATGTTATACACAGTGAGGTGCTCCTTGGCCTCTGAATATTTTAAGACGACTGCAGTGCCATCTATGGGATGCTAATATCAAGTTTTTAATGAACAACGCGACGAAATATTGTATATTGTAATTAAATTTATAGAGCCACATACATTTCCATGAGCTGCTACTGAAAATTTCTTGACAGAAAAAAAAAAACTAATTTTTGCCCCCGGATGGGTCGATCAGACAAGACAGATTCGAATCAGACTAACAAGATAACAGTTTACTTGATGTTAAGTGGCTTCTGTAGCCCATGGACACGTATACACCTGTGGCTCTACAAATTTAATTACAATATTGTTAAGAGAGCCAGTATATATAATAAGTCTCCCAGGCCATCAATACCAGGACAAGCGTGATGATTAAAGCAAACCCTTCGTAGATCGAGGGAGGCCCGTGTCTTGCTGGATACAATAATAGATAGAATTTTATGGACAGATGACGATGAAAAAATACAAAGCATATGAAACTACTCTATTTTGATATAGGATGACAGCAACAAGGCTCTTAGAAGCAATAACTTATTTTAAACATGAAATATTAACTTGCATATTATTAAATAAATAAATAAAAATGTTTTATTTTTCAGGCATCGTAGGCCATAACATGTTAGTAATGCAAATAAAACTTAAGAACTAATGTTAGTACACAAAATAAATAAAAACACAATAGAAATAAAAACAAAATAAAAATTCACACAATGCATACAAATTTGATAAATTTATCAAGCTCACTTTAGTATATGTAGCTTGACAAACCTACCTAGTGTCGGGCCATCGAGCCTCTCCGCAAAGACCCTCAGGATACTATTCGAGCTCCCTCTCACTTTGCGCATTAATGACTCCACTTTTTTACGCATGATCGCGAAGTAGTCATCAGTATGCGCATCGGCGAAAATGCCTGATGCACTACAATAAGGTGGAAGCCCCAACAATAACCTGAAGGCATTGTTATATTGAATACGCAGGGTATTGCTTGCCTTTTGGGTATGATTTGCCCAAAGGCTGCTGGTATAAAATGATTGGCAGTAAGCCTTGAACAGTGTAATTTTAACTGGTACAGAGCAAGCAGCAAACCTTCGAGCCACCATATTACCTCTCACAGCTAGTACCCTGCGTTCCCTTTCGATATCTAGATCATCCTTTAAATCCTTTGTGACAATGTGACCCAGGTATTTAAAATGAGTTACTCCCTGTAACAGTGAACCATTAAGCTTTACTGGAGGAACACATATTGGACTTTTATTTCTACCTCTGAAAACTAACAGTTCACTTTTTTAATCCATGCTGCTCAGTATAATTCTCACAAATGGAAAGCAACTTTCGTATTCCACAGATTGATGGGCTCAGCAGCACCGTGTCGTCTGCATAGCTCAAGTTATTTAGACATACTCCATCTATATGACAACCAACATGTGTGCTGCTAAGCTCATCAATCAGCTTATTTATGTAGATATTAAAAAGCCTCGGAGAGGTAAGACCCCCCTGCCTCACACCGCACTCAAGTTTATACGGGTATTATTTTACAATCAAAAATTTTACGTGCTAGATCCATGCGGCAACCAGCGCAGCGCGAATGGGTTGGCGCGACCGGGGTAGGACCACGCTCGAATAGCAGTTTAATGCTGATTGATGTGTTGCGTATGGTATGTGTAGAACCGGAGACCCTTTTACTGAAAACGAGACATTCCATCTTGGATGACCACGCGTCTGTGTTGTTTTATCCGATAGTATCTTTTGTGTTTGCATAACCTCTCGGAGTGATGAGTTTTGATGTCACTATACCGATTATACTAAACGACAATGGAGGGGATGTCACGGTCAAGATACAGTTTGCACAACTCTCACGTGTCACTCCCGCGTAACTCGAGTTTTTACAGCAAAGACGAAATATGAATCATGGCTCGCGTTCATCTTTAATTCTTACTGAGACAATGTTTTATTTTATTGCGTCTTTGGTCTACCGATCGTTAAAGCGAATGCTGGCCATTGATCCTGCGCCTGATTCCTCTGCGGTCTATATTTACTTACGTATACATGTATATTACATCTAACAAAAAGTATCTACACATATGCTGATATTATATATAATTTGAAAAAATAATTTCAAGGATTGCCCCCGTTTCCTCGTTTTCAAAGGAGATTTTAAAAAAGCGTTGTTGGTTTTTTTTTAATTCAGAGCAAGGTTTGTTGCGGTTTTAGTCGATGAATAATTTTTAACCCCGATGGAACGGAGAAGGTATTTGCGTTTAGGGTGAGAAGTTGTTTATTTGTTTTTGTTTTGTTTGTTTATGTCTGCTAACGAATTTCCCCATTTATCTACAAAACGAGTGAACCGTTGCAGATACGGTTTTGTGTAAAGGGTTTGTGACTCATTGGCGATGATTCTTCTCCTCCTCCTATCTGGGAGTTTTAATTTCAACTCGCCAGGGGGCGCTGCAATAAACGTTTTTGTGGAAACAAACGTTTCTATTTATCTCCAAAATGGTTTGAACGATTTAGATACGTCTTTGTATTGTATTTATCTGTATTTTAAATTCATTCTTAATTCCATTTGGTTGACCGTCCAAGATGGCAGACTAATTATTTTTTATACAATCTCATAATATGGGTATTATATGAAAGAATTTGCTGAGAAGAATCCAATATGATGGGTTCCAAAGGTGACGGACTATGTTTTTTAATTCACCCATGACATACTAAATAATATATGGATGCCAAATTAACGGGTTCGCTGAGGAGAATACGAATAAAATGACGTTCGCGTTTAGCTTTTCGACAAGGTTGTGTACTGTCGTCCGGCTAAACGGTATGGCTTGTAGGGGTTCTGTATTAACTAATGTCGACCACATCCTGAAATTCTCGCGGTAGTAAAAACAATTCAAAATGGTGGGAAACAAGATGGCCGCGATATTAATTTTAAAGAGTTATAACTCGGCAAAGGTTAGAGAGATTGGTGGTGCTCGAACAAATGTTATAGGGATCGACAAGTGTCATCTGCAGGCGACAAAAAATTAAGATGGCAGATCTACACAAGATGACGAATAAATGAAAAAAACCAACAAGGACTCATTGAATGAAATGAACAGACTTAAAAGATGTCCATCGATAACTAATAAATAAAGAATAAACAAATAGCAAAAAAATATTTTTATAAACAAGCTTTTGTGTCCCCGTAAATGCTCTAAAGAGAAGAAAATAAACTAACTAATATCAAACTAACCAATTTATAACATTACATATTTTTTAAATGATATAAAATCTTGTCGTGAGATTTACCTGTGTACAATAACAAGAAAACAATATCTATGTAACTTGATATTGACACAAGTAATTTTAAGAAAAGAAAAGTGTTTTATTATGAAATAAAGAAAATAGTAGTAGCTGTGCTGTCCCATGCTCAGTTCTCCCCCTCGTAGGTTGTTGAGTAAGTGAACAAAGTCCGCATCGTACTCCTGACACACGTCGCGCTTAAGTTCACAAAATACAAAGCATCTTACAGATGTGGCACCCCTTGAAAATGTGCTAGTAACTTGAAACAAGAAGTCCCTTTTACGGGTGGTAACTGATTCAAATCAACAAAAATGAGGAAATGTGCACCGCCAAAAAGAGAGACAGTATTTTTTTTAAACCTCTGAAGCCTAAAACGAACGCAGTGAAACATTCCATATGAAGCCACATGGTTTCCCATTTGCGTCTTATATCTTCCACGCACTGACCAGTTAACTGTCGATGAGTGGTCGCTGAACCTTTTTCCCTACCCAGTTATAATGCACTGTGAAGTGTTCCTCCATTCACAAGACGACCTGCTGCTCCGTTAAGGGCAGTGGCTTCAACAAAACATGGCTGAAGTAAATTCGATCCTCGACGGCACCAACGAAAATGTTAGTTGCAATTTTAAGTGCTGATCTAACACGTGCACGGCAGTGAAGGAAACGTTGTACGGAAACCTGCATGTATGAGAAATAAGAAAAAAATATTTCGAAGACATGTGAAGTTCGCGGCGAACATTTCCAAGCCCTAAAACCCTCCTCCTCTAAGTAGGCCTGTGCCCACAAGTGGGACGTATATAGCGACTTTCACTTTAAGGCAGGAAGCTGGCTTTTCCCAAAATAAATCGAAAAATCACTCTCCCACAGCCAGGGTCTTCTGGCCACGTTTGCTACGTCACTGCCGACCAATATAGCATAAAATTATATTCGCCGTAGGTGGACGGTCGAAGGATGGCGCAAGACAACCTCAAGGTACTCTGAAGCAATATAACCTTTTGGGGAAACCCATTACAGACTAAACGACTTCTAGATTTATCATTGTTCTATTAAGATTTAAATAGATGAGATGAGCAGTATGTATCGTACTTGCCTAATAACAACTAAAAATAATGAAAACTGTGGATGCCAATCCGTTTGCCAAGAGAGGCAACTGCGGCAGATATCCCCTATGAGGTAATCCATGGGGGAGGCCTATGTTCAGTCGTGGATGTTTGATAGGCTGCAATGTTAGCGATTACAAAGTAAATGAAAGTAACTACAAAGTAAAGTAACGTCAGTGCCGCGCTACCTCAGGGGTTAAGCGGTTGTCGTAATTTTGACAGTACGCGAGCAGGATCCATCAGGTGGACTGTGTACTCGTTTGTCACCCTTATCAAATAAAAAATATCCGTGTTCGATACCCGCCGGCATCAATAAATTCTAATTCTTTTAGAAAACATCGTTAGGAAAATCTGCTTTTTGAGTGATGAAAATATGAAAAAAAAACATGTGAAGACTGCAATTACACACTAGGTCTGTGCGGCGAACTAATTGCTTCTTAAATCTTTGTCATATTCAAATTATTTTATTTGCCATAAACAGTGTAAGTATTGTTTTCCAGTAAACATAAGTTGCTTAAACTCCTATTTAGTCGTGACAAGCATGTAAACTTTTCCAAATTACCAAAATATAGGTTCTATTTATTCAATGTAATACATATAATTTGTAATGTAATAATTTACAATTTTAATGCTATAATTTAAATTTAAATATATTCAATCATTAATTAAAGGTATTATGATGGCATTAGAATTATTATATAAAACCCTCAGATAAAATTAGTGACACACAGTGATACACATAGCAATTACGTCCATCATATGTCTTTAAAGAAATTTGAAAAGGCCTGTCAGCAGTGGGACGTATATGCTGTAACATTAAAGTCAAAAAATCTGCTCCATTTCATCATATGAGATCCTCCTGCGGAAGCGTTGGGTTAAGCGACAAATAGACTTTATTCTCCCAACTGTTTACATCTATATGTTGTACATAATATATTATACCCTATGGCTACAGTAACAACATACCTATGGCACAGACCTCACATGTTTTTGAAAGGGTTCTAAGATAATCTCAGATTTACGGTGACCGGTTTTCAGTGATGATGATTAGTCGTCAGGAAATTGTTGACATATCGTTTGCCACCTTTTCATTTAAAAATTTGAATGAATGTTTTTAGAACATGTGTACTCAACCAAAAGGTATATTTCACACACAGGTATATATTAGGTTGAATATTTCCTGCTTCATAACCGATAGTAAAATATTTTAATACAGCCAAGTTTTGAAGATTAATTAGTTATTTATTAAATTTTAAACACGCTTAAAGGTTAAAACAATAATTTGAAAATACCTGACTGCGGAGAAAGATTAACGAAAAGAGAAAAACTAAACCCTGTGTCACTTCTACAACCGTGACGCCTCTAACGACACCCCATTAACCTCATATCTGCAATATACAATATACATATAAGCACTGCAATATACGTATAACTACACCCCACAAAATCTACAATATACATACAAAAATTAATTTGTGTTGTATTGTCGTAAAGATTATAATTGTTTTCAACTTTTTACAGGCGCGGCCATTTTTATTTGATTTTGACGCAATATTTTATTCATATCTATTGTAAGTTTGTAATATGAGACACTTATATAAATATAATTTGGAACAGCTGTTTATTTAATATGGGTACAACTAATATTGAGTTCAAAGATTTTTTCCTAGTACTTGTTCAAGGATAATTATTTATATATTTTTTATTTTTCTATCAAAGTGTGCCAGTAGTATTTTTTTGTTAAATTTAAATAGAGTAAAACTATAGCTGAAGACATCAAGGGCCGAGGCCTCAACTAAACTACGTATCGAACAACTGCTTTCAAAATTTGTTGACAGAAAAATAAATGTTTATTTTTCTGTCAACAAAGTCAAATTTCATATTATTATAATATACATTAATACTTATATCAAGATTAATAAATTTTAAAGTTTGATTATTCAATGAAAAATTATCTAAGCATAAATTCCTTGAAATAAAATAAACAAATTTTTATACCAAAATAAATAATAAATTTATAAAAATTCAATGAATATATAAAAATATTTTCCTTTAAAAACTAAGAAATAAAAAACGGAACACTTACCGAGTTGCATGTTTATAATTTCACAGTTCAATCTTTAAACAAAATCTAAGGTATCATAGTTCAGAAATGTTGCCAGGATAATTGGGCGCACGTTGCTCTGCTAATGACTGAGAATTGGAATCAGCGGCGCCTGCACACTGCACGCAGCACCGGTCTCTTGACGACTGCTTGCTTGGTTAGTGCATCGATTGTGAAGTAACCGAACAAGTGGAAAGGTTCAATGGTAATGAAATAGTTCTGACCTATTGTTTCATAGAAAGCCTTATATATTAATAAACTTCACAACAATCCGTATTTAGGTTTTACTAAAATACTTTACGTAAGCCTCGGTGCAGTGTTTACTTCTCAACCTACGTATTTGTAAAATGATTCTTTAAATAAATTGCGCTGACTTCAACGTAACGCGGGGGTTGTTTTGGGTTATATATTTTAGTAGCGCTCCGCCCCGGCTTCGAACGTGAGATTTCTGGACCTTGATAACAACGGTATCGGGTCCGATTGTGTATCTAAGCCATTCAAACTCAAATACACACAATTTTTTTTATTAAATACGGTCCAGCCGTTCTCTTCTACCGTACTTTGGGGATTCTTTTTAGCGGTAAACACACAAACTTGTGTCTTCTGGGTACTAAACTGGACTAAATTTAGTCGCCAATATCCGAGACTTTGTACAGCAAAAACTCAACTTCGTACACAAGTTGTATGCCCTTGTATAGAGCATCACCAGTGCTGTCATCCGCAAAGCAGTGAATGTTACCGGTTTCCAACATATTATCATTGTTATGCACAAAAAACAGCTTTGGTGATATCACGCAGCCTTGTGAAGTACCAGCATTAATAGACTTGTAATCGGAGCATGCACAATTTCTCGGGAAGTTCATAGGAAGGAAACTGAAAGAAGAGCTTTGTGCTCAACGCGGTCGAAGATCTGCGCTATGAATGGCAGTAAATTCTATGGGTTAGGCCTTTAGAATTTGCTGCCTCCGCCCATCTATGGGTCAGGTAGACCAGAATATCACAAGCTGATGGACCCCGAAGAAATCGGTATTGGCGGTCACTCATCAGTTGGTGATTTATTTATTTACTTATAAGGTATACCAACAGCAAAACACATGAAACATTAACAACAACACGATAACAAATGTATATGGTTACATATGTTTGTCAATTACAGGTATACACAACATTTACCGTAATTATAATGGTACTGAATACAAAATAACTTAAAGAAAAAACTAACTAAGGAATGAGTGTGTGCTGAGAGGGTGAAAAGAAATTGGTCAACTTTTTTTGAAGATGGGCAGAGTCGTTGAAAATGTCAATGCCCGGTATCTTGGTCATAATTTGATTGTATGTGTTACATATTCTGGCTAGGGGATAATGCGCGCCTAGATTTGTTTTGTGGCAAGCTACGCTAAGTAGTTTGCGAATTGGATATCGGGGATATCTGTACGGGATAATTAATTTGATGTGATCAAGGACCAGCTCGAGTACGCACCTGCGTACTTTAGATTTTGTTATGCAGTAACTTGTAAAGAAACATTAAGTCTGCAATAAGACGTCGGTCAAGTAAGGCTGTCATTTTGAAAAATGCTAACCTCTGACTATAGGGGTGTCTATGCGATATACCTGGAGTTGGAAAGGCAAGGCAGCGTGTAAGAACTCTTTGAATTGTTTCAGTGCATTGAAAAGAACCTTCTTAGTTTGGACACATCGGAAGCCTTTCACGTTTCTTTTTAGGAATACCAACGTACTAGCCGACTTTTTGACGATATTATCAGTGTGAGCGGTCAGTTTCAGCTTCCAATCCAACAAGATACCAAGGTCCCTGATCTCCCTCACCTCCGCCAAGGTCACGTCACCCAATGAGTAGGCGGAAATGATGGGGCGTCTTTTTCTGGTGTAGCTTATGTGGTAGCATTTATTAGGATTTAAAATCATTTCGTTGATTGCACAATTTTGGTGATCCTCAAAGTACTGTATGAGCTGGCAGTTTATAATGGATTCCATTATTTTGGAAAACAAGGAGGTGATAGCGATAGGCCTGTAGTTAGCCGGGTCTGAGCGATCACCTTTTTTAGGGATCGGGTGCACTAAAGCTGTCTTCCATGAGTTTGGGACTACGCCTAGGGAGTAGAAGTACCGGAAAAGACGCGTTAGAACGGGAGCTAACTCTGAAACACACGTCCTCAGCACAAATGGGGGAATTCCGTAAGGCCAACTCGATTTGTGGGTGTACAAGGAGAGGAGTGCATTTGCGAAACGAGCAATGTGTGAACGGTATATCCGAATCCGCACTCACACCGCGGAACGGTCAGCAGTGTGCTCTCCCTGTCATCGAGAGTCCAGTCGAGTTAGACGTAAAGAAAGTGCCTAGCAGACCGGCTTTCTCCTTTGTGGCATTCCCAGTGAGTAATCCTCTCTGTGCAGAGATAGAAGAGATGGCTGACAGAAGTTCCCTTGGATAATCTTGGCGAGAGACCAGAATGCACGGGTTCCTGAAAGAAAGCAAGCTTTATTATTATTTTAGGGTATCTATATAGTTTTCTCATCTGGTTGGGTTCTATAAATATATAATTATAAATGAAAATGAAAAAATAAATATACATAAATATCAATAACATAAAATAAATATAAAAGTACATAAATAAATAAAAGCCCAACCAGATGGAGGCCCTCGGCAGGGGAGACCAAACGGCCGAGGGTTAGGGGGAAAAGGGAAAGAAACCGGCGGACGATGCAAGCGGTATCGAGGAGCACCGCCTTCTGCATTTGAACCTGGAGCGGTCCGCCACGTAGTCCCAGCCGCCTCAGATGACCCGAGAGGCTGACTGGGATTAGCCCGTTTGCAGAGACGACTACAGGAATAATTTCGGTCGGCAGACCACCCCACATGTCGGTCACCTCGTGAGCCAGGTCCAGATATTTTGTTTGCTTGTCTGTTTCGGCTTTCACGAGGTTCTCGTCATACGGAATGGTAATGTCGACCAAAAATATCCTTGACTGTGCCCGGTCCATCAGCACAATATCAGGCTTATTCGCAAGAATAGTCCTGTCTGTGATGATGGCCCGGTCCCAATAGAGCCTGGCGGGATCATTTTCGAGCACGGCTTCCGGGAAGTACTTGTAGTACGGCAATTTCCGGTCCACGAGACCGTATTTCAGAGCGAGCTCCTGGTGTAGAATTCTGGCTACTAGGTTGTGCCTGTGCAAGTACTCAGAGTTAGAAAGCGCCGAACAACCGGAGATAACATGCCTAAGTGACTCACCGGGATGGCGACAACCTCGACCGATGTCGACGGTGCCATCCTTTAGGATGTATCTCCGATAGTTGTTGGTCTTAATAACCTGATCCTGTATTGCACAGACAAAACCCTCGGTTTCCCCCGAAGAGATCACCAAAGCGTAGCCAGTGGAGGGAGGCTACTGTGTCTACGAAAGGCTCATGTAGAGCCTTGTAGAACCTCCCGTCGAGCTCCTTCTCCTTCCATACGGTCTCTCGGTCGGAAATGCTCTGCACTGCCGGGTCTTGCCATTGCTCGTTGGCTAAGGATAGAGGGGTAAGTCCTTTATCACAAGAAATGACGTCCTTATAGAATGGATCATCCGATCTCGCCAGGAAGTAATCACGGAGACTGCACACTTCGCGATTATGCATGGTGAGCGCGCTCAAGAAGCCACGACCACCATGCTTCCGCGACAAGTACAACCTCATTACCGACGATCTCGGATGATGCATCCTATGGGACGTCATGGTAGTGCGGACTTTTCTATCCAGGGCGTTAAGTTCAGTCTGAGTCCACCTGAGTATGCCAAAGGTATACATGAGGACAGGCATGACCCAGCCGTTATATGCGTGTGCCTTATTCACACCGGACAAAAGGCTGTTAAGCACTTTGGTCAAGCGTGCATAAAACACGTCGCAAACTGACTGTTTCATACCAGTCTCATCGATACCGATGTTTTGTGACATACCCAGGTATCGGTATGTTTCAGCCTCGGAAAGGGTCCTTAAGTTGACGGGCATAGATAAGTCTACGCCCTCAGAGTTAGCAACCCTTCCCTTTTCAACATGGAGGACCGCACACTTATCCGTCCCAAGCTCCATTCCAATGGAATTGCTAAATTCACAAGTGATGTTTAGCAATTCCATAAGATGGGAGCGACTGGAGGCGAATAACTTGAGGTCATCCATATAGAAAAGGTGGGTCACTTTTGTCCCTCCTCTCCGTAGCTGAAATCCCCTCCCGGAGCCCTCCAGTAAGGTACTGAGAGGGTTCAGAGAGAGGCAGAACCAGATTGGACTCAGACAATCGCCCTGGAAGATACCCCTTCTTATCCTTATGTGGTTCTCCGCAGCCATCATCCGCTCGCCCAGATGACAAAGGATCGTACTCCACTGGCCCATACACTGCTCGAGGAAGTCTCTAACTGTACAGTCTATCTTGTACAGCTCGAGGACTCTCTTTAGCCATGTATGGGGCACCGAGTCGAATGCCTTTCTGTAGTCTATCCAGGCGGCGGAGAAGTTCCGACGGTTGCGTTTCACCACTTTGCCAATGACCGCGTCAATGAGGAGTGGTTCCTTGGTTCCACGACCACTGCCCGGACATCCATTTTGAGCGCGCGACATCACCTGATTTGAGTCCAGGTGACAAGTGATTCTCGCGCTCAAAATGGATGTTAGTGTCTTGTATATGGTCGGTAGACACGTGATGGGGCGGTATTTGCTTGGGTCTGTGGTACCCTGGTCTTTAGGAACCAAATGAGTGATCCCAGTAGTGAAGAGGCTTGGGAGCGACTTCTGGTTGAGAGCCTCTTGAAACTGTCGGGCAAGCACAGAGTGACACACCATGAACCCCTTCAGCCAGTAGTGATGCAGCCCGTCAAGCCCCGGACTTTTCCAGTTCGGGGCCCTACGGACCGCCTCAGCTACGTCATCCGGCGTTATGATGACGGGGTCCATGGGCGTAATACTCGCACACTGACTCGCCACAACTTCCGTCCAAGGGCCCTCGCTGTGGTTTACGGGCTCTGACCACAGGCCGCGCCAGAATGCTACAGTGTCGGCCTGATTCGGTGCTGGACCCGTTCCACTTACCATTGGTCGCTCCAATGATTCATAGAGCCTCTTCTGATCACTCTGGAAGAGACGATTCTGGTTGAACCGTGTCGACCTCTCGGTATATCGCCGAATCCGCTTTCCCCAAGCAGCGATTCTCTGCTTCAGATCATCTATGCGCTCAGTCAGTTTTTGCATTATATCCGGCTGGGACAAACTGACATTTGTCCCAGCAAACGCCATTCTTACGGTGCGCACAATTCTTGGCCTGTTGTTGCCTGATCTGAAGCATATCAGTCTGCCGATGAGAGCTCTAGCCTATGCGATACGTTCCTCAATTCTTCTTCTCCATGCTGGGATAGCGCTACTATGGCCAGTAGCGCGTCCAGCCGTGGAAACCTTGGCGCCTATGATACGGCAGACTGCCAGCGCGGCGCCAAAAAGAATTGAGTCCGTCTCGCAAAGGTCCCGGCTGGCTTCCAAATAGGTCACCAGCATTGGGTTCAGAGCCCTCACGACAGCCCGATTCCGCTTGCTTAGGGCTATGCGGGGAAGTCGCGGTCGATTTTCGAGAGGCGTACTGCGCGTTTCCACAATCGCCTCTTCCAATGTACTCCTCATATGCTCTAATTCCAGTTCCTGGGCGACTGTTCCATCATCGTTTGAATCAACCACAACTGGGGTATTCACGGCGGCATCCACGTTTGCGGGTTGCTCTACCATTTGTGGCGCCGCATCCTCAGCCGTAGCATTCTCATCCGACGAGGGAACAGCCTCACGTCGTAGCCGTTCGAGTTCGGCGACATCAAATATATTTGAGCGCAAGATATACCGAACTCGGTCTGCCAGGTTTTGCTCTGTGACGGTTAAAGATGGCTCCAGCTCAGCAAAAAGACGATGCATCCTAGCCCGATACGCCAAACATCCAGTTTCTCCCCCTTTCGCCCCTAAAATACGCCCGCAATGCGTTGCTGTTCATCTGGGTTGTACAACGCATGCGGCGTACTCCACCAGAGGCGGGTGCCGATTGCTGGGCCCGCGAAGACCCTGCCGACACCAAGCCAGCTGGTGGGGATGATGGATGCGAGGGGCTGCTGGGTGGTCGTGCAGCACCTCGCGCTCGGCTGGCGGTTCGCATGCTGCCGCGTCCAGCGCCAGCTCCAGACGCGCCCTGGCGACCTCCAGGCAGCGGCCCTTTGCGCGTTCTTCCGTATTCCATCATCCATAGTGGTGGGCGTCATTTAGCGGGAGACGCCCAGACCCGGCGCCGTTTCATGGTGATTATTATTATTATTATTATGTGTGGGGTATCTATATAGTTTTCTCATCTGGTTGGGATGTATAAATATATAATTATAAACGAAAATGAAAGGATAAATATACATAAATATCAATAAAATAAAATAAATACAAAAATACATAAATAAATAAAAGCCCAACCAGATGGAAGCCCTCGGCAGGGGAGACCAAACGGCCAAGGGTTAGGAAGAAAGGGAAAGAAACCGGTGGACGATGCGGGCTGTATCAAGGAGCACCGCCTTCTGCATTTGAGCCCGGAGCGGTCCGTCACGGAGTCCCAGTCGCCTCAGATGACCAGAGAGGCTAACTGGGATTAGCCCATTCGCAGAGACGACTACAGGAATAATTTCGGCCGGCAGACCACCCCACATGTCCGTCACCTCGTGAGCCAGGTCCAGATATTTTGATTGCTTATCTGTTTCGGCTCTCACGAGGTTCTCGTCATACGGGATGGTAATATCGACCAAAAATATCCTTGACTGTGCCCGGTCCATCAGCACAATATCAGGCTTATTCGCAAGAATAGTCCTGTCTGTGATGATGGCCCGGTCCCAGTAGAGTCTGGCGCGGTCATTTTCGAGCACGGCTTCCGGCAAGTACTTGTAATACGGCAATTTCCGGTCCACGAGACCGTATTTCAGAGCGAGCTCCTGGTGTAGAATTCTGGCTACTAGGTTGTGCCTGTGCAAGTACTCAGAGTTAGAAAGCGCCGAACAACCGGAGATGACATGCCTAAGTGACTCCCCGGGATGGCGACAAGCTCGACAGACGTCGACGGTGCCATCCTTTAGGATGTATCTCCGATAGTTGTTGGTCTTAATAACCTGATCCTGTATTGCACAGACAAAACCCTCGGTTTCCCCCGAAGAGGTCACCGAAACGTAGCCAGTTGAGGGAGGCGACTGTATCTACGAAGGGCTCATGTAGAGCCTTGTAGTACCTCCCGTGGAGCTCCTTCTCCTTCCATACGGTCTCCCGGTCGGAATTGCTAAGCACTGCTGGGTCCTGCCATTGCTCGTTGGCTAAGGATAGAGGGGTAAGCCCTTTATCACTATAAATGACGTCATTATAGAATGGATCATCCGATCTCGCCAAGAAGTACTGACGGAGACTGCACACTTCGCGATTATGCATGGTGAGCGCGCTCAGAAAGCCACGCCCACCATACTTTCGCGGCAAGTACAGCCTCATTACCGACGATCTCGGATGATGCATCCTATGGGACGTCATGGTAGTGCGGACTTTTCTATCCAGGGCGTTAAGCTCAGTCTGAGTCCACCTGAGTATGCCAAAGGTATACATGAGGACAGGCATGACCCAGCCGTTATATGCGTGTGTCTTATTCACACCGGACAAAAGGCTGTTAAGCACTTTGGTCAAGCGTGCATAAAACACGTCGCAAACTGACTGTTTCATACCAGCCTCATCGATACCGATGTTCTGTGACATACCCAGGTATCGGTATGTTTCAGCCTCGGAAAGGGTCCTTAAGTTGACGGGCATAGACAAGTCTATGCCCTCAGAGTTAGCAACCCTTCCCCTTTCAACATGGAGGACCGCACACTTATCCGTCCCCAGCTCCATTCCAATGGAACTGCTAAATTCACAAGTGATGTTTAGCAGTTCCATAAGATGGGAGCGACTGGAGGCGAATAACTTGAGGTCATCCATATAGAAAAGGTGGGTCACTTTTGTCCCTCCTTTCCGTAGCTGAAATCCCCTCCCGGAGCCCTCCAGTAAGGTACTGAGAGGGTTAAGAGAGAGGCAGAACCAGATTGGACTCAGACAATCGCCCTGGAAGATACCCCTTCTTATCCTTATGTGGTTCTCCGCAGCCGTCATCCGCTCGCCCAGATGACAAAGGATCGTACTCCACTGCCCCATACACTGCTCGAGGAAGTCTCTAACTGTACAGTCAATCTTGTACAGCTCGAGGACCCTCTTTAGCCATGTATGGGGCACCGAGTCGAACGCCTTTCTGTAGTCTATCCAGGCGGTAGAGAAGTTCCGACGGTTGCGTTTCACCACTTTGCCTATGACCGCGTCAATGAGGAGTGGTTCCTTAGTTCCACTACCACCGCCCCGACATCCATTTTGAGCGCGTGACATCACCTGGTTTAGCTCCAGGTGACGAGTGATTCTCGCGCTCAAAATGGATGTCAGTGTCTTATATATGGTGGGTAGACACGTGATGGGGCGGTATTTGCTCGGGTCTGTGGTATCCTGATCTTTAGGAACCAAGTGAGTGATCCCAGTAGTGAAGAGGCTCGGGAGTGACTTCTGGTCGAGAGCCTCTTGAAACTGTCGGGCGAGCACAGCGTGACACACTACGAACCCCTTCAGCCAGTAATGATGCAGCCCGTCGAGCCCCGGACTTTTCCAGTTCGGGGCCCTACGGACCGCCTCAGCCACGTCTTCTGGCGTTATGGTGATGGGGTCCATAGGCGTAACACTCGCACCCTGGCTCGCCACAACTTCCATCCAAGGGCCCTCACTGTGGTTTACGGGCTCTGACCACAGGCCACGCCAGAATGCGATAATGTCAGCCTGATCCGGTCCTTGGCCCGCTCCACATACCTTTGGTCGCTCCAATAATTTATAGAGCCTCTTCTGATCACTCTGGAAGAGACGATTCTGGTTGAACCGCCTTGACCCCTCGGAAAATCGTCGAATCCGCTTCCCCCAAGCAGCGATCTTTTGCTTCAGGTCGTCTATGCGCTCCGTTAGTTTCTGCGTGATATCCGGCTGGGACAAACTGATATTTGTCCCAGCAAACGCCATCCTAACGGTGCGCATAATCCTCGGTCTATTATTACCCGACCTGAAGCTTGTCAGTCTGCCGATAAGGGCCCTTGCCTTTGCGATACGGTCCTCGATTCTTTTCCTCCAGGCTGGGTTGGCGTTACTTTGTGTAGTAGCGCGTCCAGCCATGGGAAGTTTGGCGCCAATAATACGGCAAACTGCCACTGCGGCGCCAAAGAGAATCGAGTCCGTCTCGCAAAGGTCCCGGCTGGTTTCCAAATAGGTCACCAGCATTGGGTTAAGAGCCCTCACGACAGCCCGATTTCGCTTGCTTAAGGGTATGCGGGGAAGTCGCGGCCGATTTTCGAGAGGGGTGCTGCGCGTTTCCAAAATCGCCTCTTCCAATATACTCCTCATTTGCTCTAGTTCGTGGGAGACTATTTCATCGTCGTTCGAATCAACCACAACTGGAAGATCCATGGCGGCTTCCACGTGTGGATGCTGGTCTGTCGAATGTGGAGCTGCATCTCCAGCCATAGCCGATTCATTCGACGACGGAATAGCCTCACGTCGTAGTCGTTCGAGTTCGGCATCATCAAATATTTTCGAGCGCATGATGTACCGAACTCGGTCTGCCAGGTTTTGTTCCGTGACGGGGATAGACGGCTCCAGCTCAGCAAAAAAAGCAATGCATCCGAGACCTATACGCTATTCCCACAGTTTCTTCCCCTTTCGCCCTATAGTACGCCCGCAATGCGTTTTCGTTCATGGATTTTGTCCAACGCATGCGACGTGCTCCACCAGCGGCGGGTGCCGCTTGCTGGGTCCGAGAAGACCCAGCCGACACCAAGCCTTCTGGTGGGGATGATGGATGCGAGGGGCTGCTAGGTGATCGTGCAGCTCCTCGCGCTCGGCTGGCGGCCCGCATGCTGCCGCGTCCAGCGCCAGCTCCAGACGCGCCCCGGCGACCCCCAGGCAGCGGCCCTATGCGCGTTCCTTTTTGTGTTTCTTCCATCATCCATTTTATGGGCGCCAAATAACGGGAGACGCCCAAGCCCGGCACCGTTTCGTGGTTGGGTCATATGCACAAACGGACCTTTGCATCTACAATTTTGCCTAGGCACGGCGCTCACACCTCTTGGCAGGATGCTGACTGACTGCGCCGACGTCGCAGTTTTGTCACATAACTGTTACGTCAGCGGGCGATGGGGTCGTCACTTCCCTACGCCTTATTATTATTATTATTATTATTATTATTATTTTGGGGTATCTATATGTTTTCTCATCTGGTTGGGTTTTATAATTTTGTATTTATTGTTTTAAATTATTATTATTATTATGGGGTATCTATATAGTTTTCTCATCTGGTTGGGTTCTATAAATATATAATTATAAATGAGAATGAAAAGATAAATATACATAAATATCAATAACATAAAATAAATATAAAAATACTTAAATAAATAAAAGCCCAACCAGATGGAGGCCCTCGGCAGGGGAGACCAAACGGCCGAGGGTTAGGGGGAAAGGGAAAGAAAACCGGCGGACGATGCGGGCGGTATCGAGGAGCACCGCCTTCTGCATTTGAGCCCGGAGCGGTCCGCCACGTAGTCCCAGTCGCCTCAGATGACCCGAGAGGCTGACTGGGATTAGCCCGTTTGCAGAGACGACTACAGGAATAATTTCGGTCGGCAGACCACCCCACATGTCGGTCACCTCGTGAGCCAGGTCCAGATATTTTGTTTGCTTGTCTGTTTCGGCTTTCACGAGGTTCTCGTCATACGGAATGGTAATGTCGACCAAAAATATCCTTGACTGTGCCCGGTCCATCAGCACAATATCAGGCTTATTCGCAAGAATAGTCCTGTCTGTGATGATGGCCCGGTCCCAGTAGAGCCTGGCGCGGTCATTTTCGAGCACGGCTTCCGGCAAGTACTTGTAATACGGCAATTTCCGGTCCACGAGACCGTATTTCAGAGCGAGCTCCTGGTGTAGAATTCTGGCTACTAGGTTGTGCCTGTGCAAGTACTCAGAGTTAGAAAGCGCCGAACAACCGGAGATGACATGCCTAAGTGATTCACCGCGATGGCGACAAGCTCGATAGACGTCGACGGTGCCATCCTTTAGGATGTATCTCCGATAGTTGTTGGTCTTAATAACCTGATCCTGTATTGCACAGACAAAACCCTCGGTTTCCCCGAAGAGGTCACCGAAACGTAGCCAGTTGAGGGAGGCGACTGTATCTACGAAGGGCTCATGAAGAGCCCTGTAGTACCTCCCGTGGAGCTCCTTCTCCTTCCATACGGTCTCCCGGTCGGAAATGCTAAGCACTGCCGGGTCCTGCCATTGCTCGTGGGCTAAGGATAGAGGGGTAAGCCCTTTATCACTAGAAATGACGTCATTATAGAATGGATCATCCGATCTCGCCAGGAAGTAATCACGGAGGCTGCACACTTCGCGATTATGCATGGTGAGCGCGCTCATAAAACCACGCCCACCATGCTTTCGCGGCAAGTACAGCCTCATTACCGACGATCTCGGATGATGCATCCTATGGGACGTCATGGTAGTGCGGACTTTTCTATCCAGGGCGTTAAGTTCGGTCTGAGTCCACCTGAGTATGCCAAAGGTATACATGAGGACAGGCATGACCCAACCGTTATATGCGTGTGTCTTATTCACACCGGACAAAAGGCTGTTAAGCACTTTGGTCAAGCGTGCATAAAACACGTCGCAAACTGACTGTTTCATACCAGCCTCATCGATACCGATGTTCTGTGACATACCCAGGTATCGGTATGTTTCAGCCTCGGAAAGGGTCTTTAAGTTGACGGGCATAGATAAGTCTATGCCCTCAGAGTTAGCAACCCTTCCCCTTTCAACATGGAGGACCGCACACTTATCCGTCCCCAGCTCCATTCCAATGGAATTGCTAAATTCACAAGTGATGTTTAGCAATTCCATAAGATGGGAGCGACTGGAGGCGAATAACTTGAGGTCATCCATATAGAAAAGGTGGGTCACTTTTGTTCCTCCTTTCCGTAGCTGAAATCCTCTCCCGGAGCCCTCCAGTAAGGTACTGAGAGGGTTCAGAGAGAGGCAGAACCAGATTGGACTCAGACAATCGCCCTGGAAGATACCCCTTCTTATCCTTATGTGGTTCTCCGCAGCCATCATCCGCTCGCCCTGATGACAGAGGATCGTACTCCACTGCCCCATACACTGCTCGAGGAAGTCTCTAACTGTACAGTCAATCTTGTACAGCTCGAGGACCCTCTTTAGCCATGTATGGGGCACCGAGTCGAATGCTTTTCTGTAGTCTATCCAGGCGGCGGAGAAGTTCCGACGGTTGCGTTTTACCACTTTGCCAATGACCGCGTCAATGAGGAGTGGTTCCTTGGTTCCACGACCACCGCCCCGACATCCATTTTGAGCGCGTGACATCACCTGATTTAGCTCCAGGTGACGAGTGATTCTCGCGCTCAAAATGGATGTCAGTGTCTTATATATAGTGGGTAGACACGTGATGGGGCGGTATTTGCTCGGGTCTGTGGTATCCTGATCTTTAGGAACCAAGTGAGTGATCCCAGTAGTGAAGAGGCTCGGGAGCGACTTCTGGTCGAGAGCCTCTTGATACTGTCGGGCGAGCACAGCGTGACACACTACGAACCCCTTCAGCCAGTAATGATGCAGCCCGTCGAGCCCCGGACTTTTCCAGTTCGGGGCCCTACGGACCGCCTCAGCCACGTCTTCAGGCGTTATGGTGACGGGGTCCATAGGCGTAACACTTGCACTCTGGCTCGCCACAACTTCCATCCAAGGGCCCTCGCTGTGGTTTACGGGCTCTGACCACAGGCCACGCCAGAATGCGACAGTGTCAGCCTGATCCGGTCCTGGGCCCGCTCCACATACCTCTGGTCGCTCCAATGATTTATAGAGCCTCTTCTGATCACTCTGGAAGAGACGATTTTGGTTGAACCGCCTGGACCTCTCGCTAAATCGTCGAATCCGCTTCCCCCAAGCAGCGATTTTTTGCTTCAGGTCATCTATGCGCTCCGTTAGTTTCTGCGTGATATCCGGCTGGGACAAACTAATATTTGTCCCAGCAAACGCCATTCTAACGGTGCGCACAACTCTCGGTCTAATATTACCCGACCTGAAGCTTGTCAGTCTGCCGATAAGGGCCCTTGCCTTTGCGATACGGTCCTCGATTCTTTTTCTCCAGGCTGGGATGGCACTACCTTGTTGAGTAGCACGTCCAGCTATGGAAGTTTGGCGCCAATAATACGGCATACTGCCAGTGCGGCGCCAAAAAGAATTGAGTCCGTCTCGCAAAGGTCCCGGCTGGCTTCCAAATAGGTCACCAGCATTGGGTTAAGAGCCCGCACGACAGCCCGATTTCGCTTGCTAAGGGGTATGCGGGGAAGTCGCGGTCGATTTTCGAGAGGCGTGCTGCGCGTTTCCAGCATCGACTCTTCCAATATGCTCCTCATTTTCTCTATTTCGTGGGGGACTATTCCATCATCGTCTGAATCAACCACAAATGGAATATTGACGGCAGCGTCCACATTTGCAGTTTGCTGCGCAATTAGTGGCGCCGCATTCCCAGCCGTAGCATTTCCATCCGATGAGGGAACAGCCTCACGTCGTAGTCGTTCGAGTTCGGCGTCACCAAATATGTTGGAGCGCAGGATGTACCGAACTCGGTCTGCCAGGTTTTGCTCGGTGACGGATAGAGATGGCTCCAGCTCTGCAAAAAAAGCGATGCATCCGAGCCCGATATGCCAAACATCCGGTTTCTTCCCCTTTTGCCCTAAAGTACGCCCGCAGTGCGTTTGCGTTCATTGTTTGTGACCAACGCATGCGACGTGCTCCACCAGCGGCGGGTGCCGCTTGCTGAGTCCGAGAAGACCCAGCCGACACCAAGCCTTCTGGTGGGGATGATGGATGCGGAGGGCTGCTAGGTGATCGTACAGCTCCTCGCGCTCGGCTGGCGGCCCGCATGCTGCCGCGTCCAGCGCCAGCTCCAGACGCGCCCCGGCGACCCCCAGGCCACCATGTACCATCATCCATTTATGGGCGCCAAGTAACGGGAGACGCCCAAGCCCGGCACCGTTTCGTGGTTCGGTCTTATGCACAAACGGACCTTTGCACCCACAATTTTGCCTAGGCACGGCGCTCACACCTCTTGGCAGGGCGCTGACTGACTGCGCCGACGTAGTAGTTTTGTCACATAACTGTTACGTCAGCGGGCGATGGGGTCGTCACTTCCCTACGCCTTTATTATTATTTTATTATTATTTAGGGGTATCTATATAGTTTTCTCATCTGGTTGGGTGCTATAAATATATAATTATAAATGAAAATGAAAAGACAAATATACATAAATATCAATAACATAAAATAAATATAAAAGTACATAAATAAATAAAAGCCCAACCAGATGGAGGCCCTCGGCAGGGGAGACCAAACGGCCGAGGGTTAGGGGGAAAGGGAAAGAAACCGGCGGACGATGCGGGCGGTATCGAGGAGCACCGCCTTCTGCATTTGAACCTGGAGCGGTCCGCCACGTAGTCCCAGCCGCCTCAGATGACCCGAGAGGCTGACTGGGATTAGCCCGTTTGCAGAGACGACTACAGGAATAATTTCGGTCGGCAGACCACCCCACATGTCGGTCACCTCGTGAGCCAGGTCCAGATATTTTGTTTGCTTGTCTGTTTCGGCTTTCACGAGGTTCTCGTCATACGGAATGGTAATGTCGACCAAAAATATCCTTGACTGTGCCCGGTCCATCAGCACAATATCAGGCTTATTCGCAAGAATAGTCCTGTCTGTGATGATGGCCCGGTCCCAATAGAGCCTGGCGCGATCATTTTCGAGCACGGCTTCCGGCAAGTACTTGTAATACGGCAATTTCCGATCCACGAGACCGTATTTCAGAGCGAGCTCCTGGTGTAGAATTCTGGCTACTAGGTTGTGCCTGTGCAAGTACTCAGAGTTAGAAAGCGCCGAACAACCGGAGATAACATGCCTAAGTGACTCACCGGGATGGCGACAAGCTCGACAGATGTCGACGGTGCCATCCTTTAGGATGTATCTCCGATAGTTGTTGGTCTTAATAACCAGATCCTGTATTGCACAGACAAAACCCTCGGTTTCCCCCGAAGAGATCACCAAAGCGTAGCCAGTGGAGGGAGGCTACTGTGTCTACGAAAGGCTCATGTAGAGCCTTGTAGAACCTCCCGTGGAGCTCCTTCTCCTTCCATACGGTCTCCCGGTCGGAAATGCTCTGCACTGCCGGGTCTTGCCATTGCTCGTTGGCTAAGGATAGAGGGGTAAGTCCTTTATCACAAGAAATGACGTCCTTATAGAATGGATCATCCGATCTCGCCAGGAAGTAATCACGGAGGCTGCACACTTCGCGATTATGCATGGTGAGCGCGCTCAAGAAGCCACGACCACCATGCTTCCGCGGCAAGTACAGCCTCATTACCGACGATCTCGGATGATGCATCCTATGGGACGTCATTGTAGTGCGGACTTTTCTATCCAGGGCGTTAAGTTCAGTCTGAGTCCACCTGAGTATGCCAAAGGTATACATGAGGACAGGCATGACCCAGCCGTTATATGCGTGTGCCTTATTCACACCGGACAAAAGGCTGTTAAGCACTTTGGTCAAGCGTGCATAAAACACGTCGCAAACTGACTGTTTCATACCAGTCTCATCGATACCGATGTTTTGTGACATACCCAGGTATCGGTATGTTTCAGCCTCGGAAAGGGTCCTTAAGTTGAAGGGCATAGATAAGTCTACGCCCTCAGAGTTAGCAACCCTTCCCCTTTCAACATGGAGGACCGCACACTTATCCGTCCCCAGCTCCATTCCAATGGAATTGCTAAATTCACAAGTGATGTTTAGCAATTCCATAAGATGGGAGCGACTGGAGGCGAATAACTTGAGGTCATCCATATAGAAAAGGTGGGTCACTTTTGTCCCTCCTTTCCGTAGCTGAAATCCCCCCCCGGAGCCCCCCCAGTAAGGTACTGAGAGGGTTCAGAGAGAGGCAGAACCAGATTGGACTCAGACAATCGCCCTGGAAGATACCCCTTCTTATCCTTATGTGGTTCTCCGCAGCCATCATCCGCTCGCCTAGATGACAAAGGATCGTACTCCACTGCCCCATACACTGCTCGAGGAAGTCTCTAACTGTACAGTCTATCTTGTACAGCTCGAGGACTCTCTTTAGCCATGTATGGGGCACCGAGTCGAATGCCTTTCTGTAGTCTATCCAGGCGGCGGAGAAGTTCCGACGGTTGCGTTTCACCACTTTGCCAATGACCGCGTCAATGAGGAGTGGTTCCTTGGTTCCACGACCACCGCCCCGACATCCATTTTGAGCGCGCGACATCACCTGATTTGAGTCCAGGTGACAAGTGATTCTCGCGCTCAAAATGGATGTTAGTGTCTTGTATATGGTCGGTAGACACGTGATGGGGCGGTATTTGCTCGGGTCTGTGGTACCCTGGTCTTTAGGAACTAAATGAGTGATCCCAGTAGTGAAGAGGCTTGGGAGCGACTTCTGGTTGAGAGCCTCTTGAAACTGTCGGGCGAGCACAGAGTGACACACCATGAACCCCTTCAGCCAGTAGTGATGCAGCCCGTCAAGCCCCGGACTTTTCCAGTTCGGGGCCCTACGAACCGCCTCAGCTACGTCATCCGGCGTTATGATGACGGGGTCCATGGGCGTAATACCCGCACACTGACTCGCCACAACTTCCGTCCAAGGGCCCTCGCTGTGGTTTACGGGCTCTGACCACAGGCCGCGCCAGAATGCTACAGTGTCGGCCTGATTCGGTGCTGGACCCGTTCCACTTACCATTGGTCGCTCCAATGATTCATAGAGCCTCTTCTGATCACTCTGGAAGAGACGATTCTGGTTGAACCGTGTCGACCTCTCGGTATATCGCCGAATCCGCTTTCCCCAAGCAGCGATTCTCTGCTTCAGATCATCTATGCGCTCCGTCAGTTTTTGCGTTATATCCGGCTGGGACAAACTGACATTTGTCCCAGCAAACGCCATCCTGACGGTGCGCACAATTCTTGGCCTGTTGTTGCCTGATCTGAAGCATATCAGTCTGCCGATGAGAGCTCTAGCCTTTGCGATACGTTCCTCAATTCTTCTTCTCCATGCTGGGATAGCGCTACTATGGCCAGTAGCGCGTCCAGCCGTGGAAACCTTGGCGCCTATGATACGGCAGACTGCCAGCGCGGCGCCAAAAAGAATTGAGTCCGTCTCGCAAAGGTCCCGGCTGGCTTCCAAATAGGTAACCAGCATTGGGTTCAGAGCCCTCACGACAGCCCGGTTTCGCTTGCTTAGGGCTATGCGGGGAAGTCGCGGTCGATTTTCGAGAGGCGTACTGCGCGTTTCCACAATCGCCTCTTCCAATATACTCCTCATATGCTCTAATTCCAGTTCCTGGGCGACTGTTCCATCATCGTTTGAATCAACCACAACTGGGGTATTCACGGCGGCATCCACGTTTGCGGGTTGCTCTACCATTTGTGGCGCCGCATCCTCAGCCGTAGCATTCTCATCCGACGAGGGAACAGCCTCACGTCGTAGCCGTTCGAGTTCGGCGACATCAAATATATTTGAGCGCAAGATATACCGAACTCGGTCTGCCAGGTTTTGCTCTGTGACGATTAAAGATGGCTCCAGCTCAGCAAAAAGACGATGCATCCTAGCCCGATACGCCAAACATCCAGTTTCTTCCCCTTTTGCCCTAAAATACGCCCGCAGTGCGTTTTCATTCATTGATTTAGACCAACGCATGCGACGTGCTCCACCAGCGGCGGGTGCCGCTTGCTGAGTCCGAGAAGACCCAGCCGACACCAAGCCTTCTGGTGGGGATGATGGATGCGGGGGGCTGCTAGGTGGTCTTGCAACACCCCCGCGCTCGGCTGGCGGCCCGCATGCTGTCGCGTCCAGCGCCAGCTCCAGACGCGCCCTGGCGACCTCCAGGCAGCGGCCCTTTGCGCACTATCTTTTTCTCCATCATCCATAATATGGGCGTCCATTAACGGGAGACGCCCAGGCCCGGCACCGTATCGTGGACGGCCATAAGCACAAACGGGCCTTTGCACCCTGAATTCTGCCGAGGCACGGCGCTCACACCTCTCGCAAGGCGCTGACTGACTGCGTTGACGTAGCAGTTTTGTCACTTAACTGTTACGTCAGCGGGCGATGGGGTCGTCAATTCCCTACGCCTTTTTATTATTATTATTATTATTATTATTATTGCCTATGTGCTTCAATTTTCCCTTGATGATGACTCTTCTGAAGGATCTGGATGCGGAATTACTTTTTTTAAGAGCACTGGTGTTTAAATCCCGGGATGTTGATGCATCAGCCCAGGATCAGTAGCGATCTTACTTATTGCGTGATGTTATTTTACAGGAGCGACCAAACCATAACTGGTAACTGCCTCCGATGGGCACCACAGAAGGAATAAGAAAAGTTCCATGCCCTAAAGTACCATATTAGCGACAGAATTAGCAAAAACGTTGGGGTGGGTAGGATGCAAAGGAAGACTGCATCCTTAATCCCATCCCATTCGACCGACCTATAGTGCCAAACACGACGGCAGCCTGCAACTGATGCAACCGCGGTGTTAGCGTGAGTGGCACTCCGGACTATAAAATGGTCCGAGGAGCTAAGAGGGGGCGTTGACGGAGACCTAATATCCGCCAGATAAGAGGTCAGCAAAAAGTCCAACAGGAAAGATGTCTGATTTTCCACATTTGGAATCCGCGAAGGTGAAGTAACCAGTCAGACCATATGCTAAGGCAAAGTCGTAAACAGATCTCCCGGCATAATTGGTCTAACGTGAACCGAGCCATTCAGCGAGAATTACGATTACTGTGGATGGAATCTGCTGTAGCAACAAATCTGTTGCCATTTAGACGTGTTCGATGAGTCGATCTGTTTTGGCATTACCGCTATGAGACCTTGAGAGGCACCCGTAAACGCGCGGATGTTCGTCACTGTCCACGCGTAGCCAAGGAATGGACAGGAGCTTCAAGACTGCCGAGGTGTCGAGAACAGATGTCCTTTTGACTTATACGCAAATTCCAGTCCGAGGCACAAAGGAGTGTTCCAATTTGTACCCCTGATAGGAGAGATACGAAGTATTAGCAGGAGAAGACACCTGCGTCTCGGCCAGAATGAGCAAGGCCGGCTTCGCTGTATACAGATGGTAGTGAACGGCGTTTAGGTTCGATTGAAGTTCCCTGATGATGTAGAAATTTACGGATAGCGTGTAAGTTGTCGCCTTTGTCTTGTTGCTAAATTCCGCTCAAGACAATTCTTGAGCGTAATTTTCCTACTTCACGCTAATATACTGTGATGTCGCGGTATCATCCAGCCGGCCCATACGTGCAATAGTAAAAGCTGCCGCGTGGCTCTACCACTGTTATTTATATAAACTGCAAATCCCTGGGTTACTACTAAACTAAGTCAGTTGTCAGAATGCCTGCCCGTTGAGACGGAAGTCCTAGGCAAGTCATATTTAGCTGAAGTCATTATATATCGTTTGACAGATGTGCATATTATTTGAGACGCCAGAATATGGCGTTTCGACAGACGAGGGGATATGTATAAGTCGTTGCGCTACGTCGTAGGTACTTACAACGTGGTATAGCCATATTACAGCTATATTATGGTTGTAGCATGAGTCAGTCAGCTCGACCGGGTAAGGATCACGCTCTTAATTTTGCTGTGTTTCGTATAGTGATTGTAGAAAACCGGAGACCCTTTCTACTAGAAACGAGGCGCTCCATCTTAGTTCTCAGGGGTGACAACGCAACTGCTTTCTGATTCTTAATCTAGGATGATAAATGTTGATGTCTGTGTTTATAGCCTACAGCATCCACTTACCATTAGATGTACCGTGTGCATGCTTGTCACACTTATCTCTATAAAAAAACACATATTATCCCCGAGGAGATAAGCAGAGTCCAAAAAAGGAATGCTGTAAAAGAAGTGACAGTTAGCTAGCCCATCGTCTGCACAGTCAAAACCCCAATACCCTATAAGCCTTAGCCTTTTACGACACGCTAGGCAAGTAACAGTCGGCACCAAACTGGCACCAACCTGGGGCAAATCATTGTAATTAAAATATAAATAATATAAATTTGCCGCTATAAATGTTAACTCGGATTATAAGTCGTGTGGAATATTTAGAGACGATGGCAGGAAAGGTTTTGATCGCTTGGAAAGAGACAAAGCCTCTGGTTCCTCGGTCTAGTGGCCAACAAAGCAGGGGCGTGGTTATGATGCATTCTATATTTTTCCTCGCGGATGATAAAGAATTCTTAATCGAGGTTAGATGAAGATGTCTACGCGTAAAGTTCCACAAACCATCAAGTGGATTGCGTGACATACTATCAAATAAAAATGTAATATATAGATCAATGATAAAAATAAAATAATTCGAATATAACGTCACATAAATTTAGACGGACATCGACATGCATTTATTTAGCAGCTTACACTCGTACAGTTTTGATACAGAAAATAAAATAATACAGAAAAACATCGAAAATAAAATAAATAAGAGAGGACAGACATAAAATGATCCGATTGCATGAGTGATGTGATGCTGAAAAGTCACTGATTCATCATAATGCTATCACACAATTGCGGAAGCGTTGGTTTTCAGTTGCTAATTTAGGTTAGACTCGCCCGCGTGGATAGTGTGTACGCTTTATTTCTATGTAACATATAACATCTATCAAAATGTTACAGTTAAAACCCGTTTTTAGATAGAACGCGTTATCCCTAGTTAAAACTAGTTTTTACTTAATGCCTTTGTGAAAACTAGTAATACATAGTCAAAACTAGAATTTACCACTGATATATTTGATTTTCAGATAAAACTAGTTGTCATTCCGAGCTTTAGTTAACACTAGCACTAGAGAAACCACTGTCTTTTGGGATTGAAAACAAGATATACTTACTATAAATATTTATTAAAAGTTTTTGACACGGAAATATTGACACAGTTACTTCAGCAACGGCTTCGGCGCTGCAGGAAATGCAGCCCCTCCGCCCTTGCGTACCAAATCACAGGCACCCATGCTCACCTCCGCAGCTTCGGCTTATTAATCGGCGACCAACTTCAACCGCTACGATTCGCACAAATGCCTGTGATTTGCTATAGTGAACGGGGTTTGCTCTCCATTCGCGCCTACGGCTTTAAAAAAACACTCTAGGGGTAGGGCAGAGAAGACCACGTGAAGTCGGGGCGTTCTGATTCGGTTTTAGTATCCGGTCAGGCCCGGTAAGCAAACCAAAGTCCAAAGTAACGCAATCAAATCAAATTTAGCACCCAAGCCTCGGTCGAAACTGTTCTAACTGACTCGGTTCGGTAAAACGCGTTTTATCTAATAAGAACTAGCTTTACCTGATATTCAATTTTTAACATTATGAGACAACGTCAGCCGAGTAACATCCACGTTAAATCGTTTCCCCAATTTTAATTTTTAAAGGCCTAATAACTGTGTTTTGGTGTTCAATTTTGCTTCATTTAACCTTTAAGTAATGATATGGTTTGGATGACTCATAAATGGTGATGTGACGTTTTATAGACGTTTACGCAATTTATGTCAATAGTATGAACTTAATTATTAATTAGACATTTTTTGTATAAAATCAAAATAGAAACCCTCTTTTTAATGATATAGGCTGAAATTAAACCCAATTTAAGCATTAATCAACATTTATTAGGACATTTGGCAAAAGTTACTAAAAAATCACATTCTATAAAAGACGCACTTCTTAAGTGTTATGAAATAAACAAAAAGACTTATTTTTTAACAAAAAATAAAATTTCTTGCTTCTTCAACTTAATTACTAAAATAATATAGGAACTACCACAGAATCATTCTTCTAAATTCAGTCTCAATCAGTACAGTCGCTGCAGATTGTTTTGGAACAGCCTAAGCGTATGTCATAAACATGCAACGCATTTGTACCTTGTGCGTCGCTTCAGCCTTGCTGGACACCTTACAAGTCTTTTTGTCACTTTCACCAACAGCTGACTCAATGCTGCTAGGTTCTGGCGGTAAATCTTCGCTAAGAATCCGTTTCAATGTCAGTCTTATATTCAAGTATTTTGTCAGTAATATCGTCATCCATAAAATGTCTCCACAGGGTTTCTAGGTTGATGAATGCTCTAGGCTGTGATCTAGGTGTGTCAACCAAGTTGTGGCTTAGTGAACGACAGTTACGCATCACTGGTTCATCGCTTCACCATTTTAACCTTTCATACCTATGTATCTTTATATATCTTTGGGATCTGTGTGTATATTATCTTGTATTGAAGATAGACCTGAATATTGCATCGCAACTGAACTGCGGGGTGATCTTTGTCGTTGAGATTGAGTTTCTTCATCCTCAGAATGTTCTGAAGCCGAGTCATGATCACTGTGCAAACAGAAATCTGGATCCACTTCTTCATCGTCCACATCACAGAAGTCTCGCTCCAACTCAGCCTCTATCCACTGACTTAAGGTCTTTTCATTTGTCGAAGTATTTAGAGCTACTCGCTTTCGCTTTCGACTGTTTCCTGAAGGTCCAGGCTGATCCATCTAAAATAATAACGTACACAGTGAGGTGACGAATAAGAGACACTTACAAAAAATACACTAATACTGTAGTGACGTCCAATAAATCATTTACGCAAATACTGATCTCACGTCTCAGGGACACCAAACGGTCGTACAGGTACAGGTGTTGCTGCCACGAGCGCGAGCACTCGACTGACCGATCACGCCACCGAAATCCGAAGGTAGCGGGAGGGACGGGAGCGTCTTTAAAAAATTAACGCCACGAGACTGATTTTTGCATCGAGGCCGTCTGTGAGACACCCACGTCACTTAAAGGTTAAACATATTAGTGACTATTGAGTGTTTTGTCGCAATTTTTATGACTTGATTAAAGTGATAATAGTGTTTTTTTAATTAAATCAGTATTTGCGAATTGACCGGACTAAAAAAAACTTATTCGCATCTACCCCAGGACTACGTGTTACATTAAAACGCGTAAGCGATATCGTTTGCACGGCGCTTACGACTTTCTTCCCGCGAGGTTTGTGTATTGAGAGCTTTTATTGTTGTGCACTTTGTGAACGTGGATGAATATTATTTGTACGAGGGCCTTTATTACGGAGCCATTCTGATTATAATATAATATTATTTTTTTTATTAACTACCTTTATTGAATAAAAATTATGGCTAAAACTTTGAATACGGTATGGGGTTGTTGTACATTACAAGAAGGATACGATGATGATGTCAAATGCACTAAGTGTTTGAAGGCGTACCACTTAGCTTGTGTTTCTGTTAAAGCCTTGGAAATAAACTTGAAATAGATCTGCCCAAATTGCGCCAGTACTATTCCAAAACGTGGCACTATTTATAATACTCCGTTACGTTTTAACCCCATTGTTACCGTCCGTTCCTCTAAGAGACAAGCACTATTGTCGCCACCGAACAACAATGAAGCACATCCTCTTACCCATGATGATGTACGTGCAATTATGAACGATGTCTTAAAATCTCACATGACAGACTTTACAAAAGAAATAAACCGCAGTTTACGAGGAATGTTGGATGCTGAAATGAAGACTATTAAGGATGAATATAAGGAGATCAAGGAGTCTATGGAGTTTATAAACGGAACGTTTGAAATGCTTCAAATTGACCATAAAGCAAACCAAGAAAAGATAAAAAAATTAGAGGAGATAAACAAGCTAATGCAGTCAACCATCAATAGTCTTCAATCGTGCGTAAATCAATTGGAACAAAATTCTCGCGCCAATAATATTGAGATACAATGTATGCCCGAAAGTAAATCTGAGAATTTAGTGACATTGTTAAAAAAGTTGGGTAGTGTCATTGATTGTGAAGTAGCAGACGAACACACAGCTCTTGTTACAAGAATAGCCAAGCTGCAACAAGATAGTTTGCGTCCCCGATCGATAATTGTGGAATTCAAAGACATAAAACTACGTGATGCTTTCTTGGCAGCGAGTATTAATTTTAATAAAAAACACCCAGACGATAAATTAAATAGCGCACATCTCGGACTGGTCGGCAAAATGACACCCATCTTTGTTGCTGAGCATCTATCTGTAACTAACAAAGTACTACATGCAGCTGCAAGAAGAACAGTCAAGAAGAAAGGTTTTACTTGAGAAAAAATGAAGGCACGGGCTATATCATTGTCAAAGATATGCAAATATTAGCTGCCATACGATAGGTTTATTTATTTTTGGTTTTCGTTTGTACTTTAAGCATGCATATATAGTTTTAATTTATAAAATTCACGTTACAAATATACTATCAAAATACTAGAGGGCTAAGAACTAAAACTAATATATTTTTTTTAAATTTGTAAGTGTGCAATTTTGATATTATTGCGTTAACTGAAACTTGGCTATGTAGCAATATATTGAATACTGAATTATTTGACGATCGTTACATTGTGTTTCGAAGAGACAGAAAGTCTACTGGTTTGTTTTCAGCTGGCTTCCGGTTGGCAGTGTCAAAAAAGATTCAAGCCAAGGAAGTCACTTGTTGGAACAGCTCACGCGAGGATTTGTGGGTAATGTTAAATATACCATTAGCTGGTACAATAAAACAAATTGCTGTTTCTGCTGTATACCTTCCTCCACCAGTTACCCATCGCTTATTGGATAGTTTTGTAGATCACTGTAGTTCGATATTGCAGAAATTTGAAGGTCATGTTTGTATTATCGGTGATTTCAATCTACGCAATATTGATTGGAAACTGGTATATGATGCCGATGTAAAATATCAGGCACCTGTGCTTGGTCAATAATTTATTGACTTCGCCTCTCTACATAATTTGAGACAGTGTAATACAATCGCAAATCAACATAATAAAACGTTAGATCTGCTATTCACCGACATGGTTAATTGCAAAGTGTATGAATCGTTAGATGTTCTTAGTAAAACGGATCTTTATCACCCACCACTACATGTTGATATACATTATGAAAACGTTTGTCAACTGCAATATAATACAAATTTCACTAAACTTAATTTTGAAAGAGCTAATTATTCTTCCATCAATGATTATCTTTCCAAAATTGACTGGGTAGCAGAATTTTCTCAGTACAAAGATTTAAATCAAATAGTTGTACATTTTTATGTCTTGATCAGACATATTATATAGAAATTTGTGCCCCAAAAAAGAATAGTCAACCACGGTAAGTATCCGCCATGGTTCAGTAACAGTTTAATCCGCAGACTTCGCGAAAAGAACAAGATTCTAAAAAGATACAAAAAGTATAGAAATCCTTTAGATAAGATTGAGTTGAGTATTTTGTCTAAAAGGTGTCAAAAACTTGGTACTACCTGTTACAATGCATACCTTAATAACGTTGAGGATAGAATATCTATAAATACAAAAGCATTCTGGTCTTTTGTTAAAAGTAAACGTAGTGGCTGTAGTTCATACCCAACCGGTACGAGAATGGAGGGGAATGGAGATATGATTGCAAATGATGGGCCGAGCATTTGTAATCTTTTTGCTAGTCACTTTGCCGAAGTTTATACCGAAGCCACATTGTCACCAACTCATAACTCATCAGTACTCGAAGATACTGCTAATAGTAGTTCATCATTCGGTGGTCTCTATTTTCATCAAGAAGCAGTGGTTCGCGCTTTGAAGTCCCTGGACGTAGATAAAAGCGCTGGACCTGACGGTATTCCACCCTGTTTCCTGAGAAATTGTGCCTTAAGTATTGCTGTACCTCTCTGCTTTATACACAATACATCTTTAGCAAAGGGCATATTTCCCAGAGAGTGGAAAATCGCAAAGGTGGTTCCAGTTTTTAAGTCTGGTGATAGTGATTTGATTATAAATTATAGACCGATTTCAATCCTTTCCACAATGTCTAAGTTCTTCGAAATTTTGATCTATCCATATATTTCCGCTTATGTGAAACCATTTATCACGGTCCATCAACATGGTTTTTTGAAATCTAGATCACCTGCCACAAATTTGGTTTCCTTTGTTGAGATTCTAACGCAAGCCATTGACTCTAGCCAGGAAATAGAAGTAATTTATACAGATCTCAGCAAAGCCTTTGATAAGGTGCCGCACGAAGTATGGATTAAGAAGTTGTCAATTTATGATATTAATGGAACCTTGTTAAACTGGTTTGATTTATATCTAAATAAGCGTAAATTTTTTGTAGTGGTAAATGGTTTTAATTCTAAGGAATATGACATAGATTCGGGAGTACCACTGGGTTCGAACCTGGGTCCTATTTTGTTTAACATTTTTGTTAATGACGTTGTTGGTTGCATCTTGTATTCTACTCCGTACTTGTACGCGGATGACTTGAAGTTATTGCGAGTAATAAAAACGACACAGGATTCCATATTATTACAAGAGGATATAAATAGTCTAAGTCGTTGGTGTGAACGGAATGGCATGCAACTAAATGTGGGTAAATGTGTTTATGTCAAATTTACCCGAAAACAGAAAACTTTGGACTCTACTTATTTTATTAATGGTATAAAATTACAGGAAGCTGACCATATAAGAGATCTTGGTGTGATAGTTGACAGAATGTTAACCTTTGCTGCCCACTTAGAGAGTATTATAAAAAGAGCTTCAAACATGCTTGGATTTATTATTAGAATGGGCAAGCAGTTTCGAAGGTTGCAAACAAAAAGGCTCCTGTACAACTCTTTTGTCCTGAATATTCTGAAGTACTGCAGTGTAGTATCGCGACCACACTATGCATGTCACTCTTTAAGGTTGGAACGGATTCAGAAGAGATATCTTTAGAACCTAGCCTACTCACCCAATAAATGTAAAAAAAGGGTTTTCCTACAAAAACAGATTGAAACACTTTAAGTACACTACCTTGGAAAACCGTCGTATAATGCTTGATCTCGTCTTTTTGTACAAATTATTTAACAACAAAATAGATTGCCCAGGCTTACTGAGAAAATTTAGATTCAATGTACCACACAAATTACCTAGGACTAAAATATCACCATTAGTTCCACCATTGCGCACAACAGTTTTGGGCTCAAGTTCATTTGTCCCTAGAGCAAGCAGATTTCTAAACTGTTATAGTAAAAACATAGGTATCCATGTTACAAGTCTGAATACGTTTCGCAAACACTTGCAAAAAACCCTAGACGAGTTATAATTAAGTAATTTGTTCATTTATATACTGTGCTGTTATTGTTTCCTTTTTTCTCTTTCTTTTTCTCATTTATTGTGAACACATTAAGTCACTTATAAATATTGGATGTTACTACCCTTAATATTTTGTGCATGTGGTGTTTACCTTAATTAATTGTGCATTTGGATGTACATGTTATTCATGTATTATTGTTACAATTACTGGTAAACCTAATAAATAAAATAAATAAACATTAGTTAATTCTAGTTGAAAAATTAGGCATTAATTAAAAACTAGTTTTAATTAGGGAAAACGCGTTCTATCTAAAAACTGGTTTTAACTGTAGCAAAAATAATTAAATTAAATAATAGAAATGCAAAAAGATGGGAACTTTAGTTATGCTGTATAACATATAATTGTATATAATGAATAATACAATGAGTATTTACAATAAAACAATAAAAATATTTATATTATGCTATAAAAATATAACGCACTTATTTTATTTAAAGTTAAATCGACCTTAAAAAGGCTGATGTTATTTAGTTGACGGATATGAGTTGTGTCAGCATTTAGTTGCTGCATATCGGAAACTTCTGCGGAATACTGCCGTTGTGGGTTTTGGTTTCGAAAGTACATTTAATTTTGTTCGAATGACCTTAAAATTACAGTCTTTGCGCCATTTTAGTTTTTCTTACAGAATTTTTGTTTTGAAAGATACCGAAAATTAGTGTTGCCAAATGTAGCGCCCTTAATTAGGACATTCTTAATAACTTTTACTTGGTATAATCGTTACATTTTAAGTGGTCTCAATTGAGAAACCTGCAAAAGACAGGGTTTGCATATGTGCGCAAGCACATGTTGTGCACTCTCTATTCCCTCACTCTTATAGTCCGATTTGACGGCTAAACGACAAGACTGGAGCGTGATCAGGCGCAAGACAAACGGCACCGAGTCAAGGAGGTTAAACCCCACCAACTTCCTGACTCCGGGTTACTACTGATTTTGTTGGCTCGACCAGGGATTCGAACCTGGGGCCTCATGTCAATCTTTTAATCGTCAGGTTCAAGTTACCCATCAAATAAATTCTAACCTGACTGAATAAAATTTACGTGAAAACTATTTTACGTCATAGAGCCATGTTGCAGCTATATTATAGTTGTAGCAAGAATGGGTCAGCTTGGCCGGAGCAAGACTACGCTCTCACAGAATACCAGCATAAAATAGCAGCGTAATGGTCCTGCATTTCGAATGGTGAGTTTCGGGGTACTGAAATCGAAGCATTCCATGTTTGTTAGTCCTCAGGGGTGACAACACGTTTGCATTTTTATCCATAGTTGAGGATAAATGTAGATGTTTAATGGCCACAGCATCCACTTACCATCAGGTGGATTGTGTGCTTGTTTGTCACCCAATGCTATAAAAAAAATGAAATAAAAGTGAAACAATTGAGCTATTTAATAACTTATGTTAATAATAACAATTGTAATTATATGTAATATATGTTGTTTTTATTAGTTAACTTGTATCTTCGGCTCCATATATTTAACTCTATTATACATTTTATGTTTAACTTTTCCCGTTTCTTTTCTTTCCCTTGGGTATGGTATGTAATTATATTTAATGTAAATACATAATATGTTGTATATTATGTAATGTGTAATGTTCATACTTAACTGTAACGTTATAAGCAAGGAATACCAGTTCAATTAAACTGTCGGATTTTATCAATAAAATTTTCTAATACCTCCTCGACCTGCTTTATTGGGAAATCTCCGAAGGTTGCTTAAATCTCGTCATTATTATAGCTAATAAGTTTCATTGTGATTGTTTCGTTTTAAGAACATGGCCTCGGTGTTATCCGTTCCAAATATTGCGACGGAAACGGAAACTATCGATCAAAATTACATATATTTTTATACAAAACGATTTGACGGTGTGGCCGTGCAAGAACAGCCACTGTCCCGTAGCGTCCCGTGGGTGTCGTGAGAGGCGCCAGAGGGAAACTGAAGT